CCAGGGGTTTAGTTCAGTGGTTCCGCCTTGCCTCAAAAGCACAAGGTCCCGAGTTCGATCCCCAGTGCATAAAACAAACAAACAAACCAATCACTGCTATTTACCCTATGTGGGTGTGATGGTTTCTCTTCTTTTTTTTTTTTTGTAATATCTGGGAAATTCAATTCCAATGGTTAAGATAAAATTACATTTTACCTAAATGGTTAGGTTATTGTTGCTTTCCTAATGGGGTGAAGATTGGTTCGTTTATTGATATATCCCTATCAATTAGAGCACAGTCTAGCATATACAAATGGGTCAACAAATGCTTGTTTGTTTTTGGTACTGGGGATTGAACTCAGGACCTTGCGCTTGTGAGGTAGGGGGCGGCACCACTGAGCTAAATCCCTGGCCCCTAATAAATATTTGTTGAACTGTATAAGTTTTTAAAATGTGGGGCCGGGGATTCACCTCAGTGGTGCCACCCCATGACTTGCAAGTGCAGGGTCCTGAGTTCAATCCCTAGTACCAAAATAAATAAATGAATAAATAAGAATGTTGTTCACTCTAAAATAGAAGTGCAAATTAAACCATTTTTCATCTGTCAGAGATTTGAAAGATTGATCCTACTCTGTGTCAAAAGAGCTTGAGGAGTTTGATCCCCGGTACCAAAAAAAAAAAAAAGTGTTTAAGAGAGCTTGAGGAAACAGACACCCTCGAACACCACTTGTGAGTGTGTGGATTAGGAGCATTCTCCGGAAGGCAAGTTGGTATCTACGGAAGTTCATATGTCCTTCAGTCCAGCAAGTCCATTTCTTGGAATGTATACCACACATGTAGAAATGGCCAAGTATCAATCGTGCTCTCACTGAGTGAAAGGTACTTGGGTATAGAGATGATTTAGGAAACAGTGCATACCAGGTTTTTCATTTGGGATTGGACACAACCAATTGTTCATTGGTGGACCACTGTGTGGGACTTGGGGTACTCACAGTGACCTGCAGCCCTGCAGAGAATTTGGAAGCTCTTCAAACAGTGACAGGCTCATTCCTTGTGCTGAGGGTGAGAAACCAAAGTGCAGGAAGGGTGTGTGAAATGCCACCCTATGTGAGCAGGGCATGGGCACGTTTGTAACTGGTATGTGACGTTTCTGGAAGGAAAACTAGACCCCCTCCACAATGGCTGTCTCTGCCAGAGGTGGCTGAGGCCAGTGTAGGGGAGAAGACTTTACAATTTATATCTTTTTTTTGTACCTTTGAACACTAAACCCTATCAAATTCAGCAATACCAATTTTGTATGGAAATTATCACAACTATATCCAGGATGGGCAGTGGGGTGGCCATGTCACCATCAAAGACCAGATGCCAGCCAGGATGTGATGCTTCATTTAGGTGCAGTGAGAGGCTCTTACAGTAAGCATCCTGGAGTGACACGTGGGGAGAGGGTTCCATTCATTATCTATTCAAATTACAAATGACTCTGAGTGTCCTGAGTGGGATGCAAAGAGAGCCCTTGACTATTCCCACCTCCAGATCAAGAACCTGGGGTGGACCCACCCCTTGCTCCCCACCCTCCCTCCCAAGTGTTGCAAGACCTTGTCTGTTGTCCCCCCTGCACTGTGTTCTTGGTTCTGGGCCTTGCTGTGGGAGTGTATCATACTGTCCACTAGATCCTTTCTTCCTGTCCAGGGCCAGCTACACTTGGCCTCCAGGTCTTCAGCCACCAGCCCAGAAGCCTGCAGCGCATGTCCTCAGGCCCCCTCCCTCCAAGCTGTTCTAGGTTCCCTGTCTGAGACCAAGCACAGCCTGGCTTTCTCTGGCATCCCTTAGGATTTGTGGCCTTTATCATTATCCCAAAATAAACCTAGAGCACAAAACACAGCCTCTTATATTTCAGCTATTCCTCTTGGACCCCTGAATGCTGGGCCCTGCCTGGTTGCAGAAAGAACAACAAAGAGCCATTCAGGGGCCTCTGGGTGGGGGAAACTTGAACCCACCAACTGCTCACTGCAAAAGGTGTGTGTGGTATCCCTGGAGAGAAGCCGACCTGTTTTTGAATGTGGAAGGGATTTAGCAAGACCCAAGAAGCTCTGCTATCCACTCCTCACAGGTGAAGCAGTTCCATTTCTGTCTAGGTGAGGGACATCAGAGGCCTCTGCTCAGATATTGTCTGTGCCTGACTCACTCCAGACTCTGTCCCTGAACGCCACAAAAGTTCTTGCTACACTGCATGGATCCTGTGCTCCTGGATCACAGCACCCTGGAGTTATTTGCAATTGTAGCCACGGAATACTTGGGTCCCCAGTCCCCATTCATCCTCTTGGCCTCCAGGAACCTAAACTTGGGGTCTTCTTGTCTCCATGTCTGCAGATGCTCACAAGTAAACATCCAGAGTTGTTTGGTCTATGCCAGGTGCAGTCATCGCGCCACAGGTGCCTTGTAACATCACCACTGTAAGGTGATGGCGTACAGTTCCCCCAAGAGTTCTCATTAGTATTTTTTCCGAATAACAAACAGAACATGGGAAAAAGCACAACTAGTGGAGCTCCCAGTCTGCACTGAGTATAGGTGCCTCTTGCCCGCTGAAGTGGCTGCGTTTGTCCTCTCCTGTGGCTCTGGCCTCCTCTCAGTGCAGATGGGCAGGTTGACTCCAGGCTGAGACAGCAGTGCCCCGTACTCTGTACACAGCAAGAGTGAACAGCTTGCATCAGAAGATAAATATGTGGGAGTGTCTTTGCAAACATGGTAACTTCAATAACGTCATTACCCAACACCAAACACTGGAGGATTAATCATTGCACTAAACAACTCAGACCCATTCCCAGCAGTATGGCCCATGGTCACTGTCCCCCAGGGCAATTTCCCAGCCTTGTGGAACTGAGTATGCTGCAGATGATCACAGAACTTAGAAATAGCCTTGGCCCAAAGCCTTCCAAGCTGGGTTAATGATTGACCTACTGCAATTTCTGCCACCTTGAACTGTTGAGAGTCTTATTAACAGCTGGAAATAAACTTTTATTTTTGAAATCCTCCTGACAAGTTCAAGTTATGGAAGAACTATCTTTCTTTTATTCTGAGGTCTTGTGTTGCACATTCCCTGGACAAATAGCTAAGTGTTTTATCCTTGGTGCCATTTTATCAACCCAGAGGAAGTGCTGGTCTTGACTTTGCTTTCAGTTAGTAATTGGTGGAATTTGTCACTGTGCCTAGCATCCTCAACCACACGAGGGTCCAGCTGCATCCAGCAGCTTAAAGTCCTGGTCCAATTGAATCAGCTTTGAGTGCATTTGATCAATTTTGATTATTAGCTTAAGAGTCACTCAGAGGCTCCCAGTTTTAAAACTGAAGGCCTTGCTGCCACCAATCAGCATTAGAATGTACTGAGCTGAATTCTCACCTTAGGTCCACTTCTAGATCTTATTTGGTACTTTTTAGGGATATGTGGGTAAATGACTTGGGAGAGTCTATCTCAAAATAAGAAGTAATTTTAAAAGGGATGGGGATGTAGCATAGTGTGAAGGCTCTGGGTTCAATTCCCAGTAGAATATTGCCAAAAAAAGTTTCTACAAGTGTTGGCAGACCTGACTGATACTTCTTCCTTATTTTGGCCATGGCTAGGGAACTAGACCTTCAGATAAATAAACCAAGAGATAAATAAGTAGAACCTAATTTAATTTTTTTTTTTTTGGTATCCTAGTGTTTCAAATCTTTCTGGCACATACCCTGGAAAGCACACAGAGAGCCCTGAAACAATGACACCAGGTTAGGAAGGTGCCCTTAAGTGGCCTCAAGGGCCACCAGGTCAGGTAAGTGTGAGCATCATCAGGTCCTCACTAAGCTCCTCAAATGTGACTCTCAGTCTTTGTGGTAAGGGAGATCCAGACCCCTAGAGGAACAGGGCAGGTGCCCTTATGACATCCCGGCCAGCTTCCATCAGGGAAGTCACTATTCTTTGCTCCTGTTCCCCACCAGTTTCATTTACACCTGCCACCAGGCCAGGAAGACTTTCCCAGGAAAAGATGTTGTGAGCAGAGGTCTCTATTTGAGTGGATTCTGAAAGCAGAAACCACTCTGTGTGTGGGCCCACAAGAACCTGCTCACCACATCACCACATGGGGTAGGACAATTCCCTTGGGCACTATGTGAGGCAGGGATTTCCCTGGAACTTCCTTGTAGACAGCCTTGTTCGACATACATAGGAGACTGTGTTGCAGTATTATCAGGTGGGGTTGGGACTGGCAGTGTTTTCCAGGTTCTTATTGTCCGGGTCAGTGAATTAGTCAGAACAATTGGTGAATGTGAAAGATTACTGTTTATTTTAGGGTTGAAATAAGAAGAAAAAGAAAAGGAAAAGTAGAAAGTGGATGCTTTGAAGAAAAAAGAGAAGATGTGTTCTGCATGCAGAGTGGACCACTGCAAAGGGCCATCACACAGTCAATTTCTGCTGTCTTTTTATACCTTCTTTGATAGCTAGTTGATCTGTGGCCCCTTGGAACTCCTGCCTCCCCACTTGATCTCCTGATCTCGTGCTAGAAGACCGATATCAAGTGCCAGGTCCACGTGTTTTTGTGTCAGAAGATTGGTACCGAGGTCAGAGTTCAGCTTAATCTGTGTCAGGTTTGGGAGCCACCGCCCTGCTCTGTGGTCGACAGGTCTCTTCCAGCGGTAGGTCTCGGCCAGTGGCTCCATCTGCTCCACCCACATTGCCATCCCCTGGACTGCTAGTCCAGAAGGTTCCAGCTATGGCCCCTTAGAACTCCTGCCTTCGCCTCTGCTGGTAGCCCCGTGGGGGCCATACTTACAAGCTCAGGAACTGGGGAAAGATGAAAAAGATGCCCAGCAAGTGGTTATAGAAACGTAAGGCAGGACCGGCATGGTGGCACATGGCTGTAATCCCAGCACTTGGGAGGCTGAAGCAGGAGGACTGACTGAGTTAGAGGTCAGCCTGAACTACAAAGTGAGATCCTGTCTCAAAAAAACAAACAAAAGAAAGCAAGCAAGAAAGGTAAGGCATAACTCACTTTATCAAATTCTTTTTTTATTAAAAAAAAAGTCTTCTACCAACTGCTTGAACCTTGGTCTCTGTGAGGGCACTGCGTGCCAGCAATCCCTCATCAAATTCTTTCCTGCGGGAAGGTTAGAAATCAAGGAGAGGGCCAAGTCTTTAGTGAGGTGAGACTCCTTACCCTGTGGTTCCCATACTCAGCAGCCCAGCGTCACCAGGGAGCCTCAGAGCCCCAAGTTTCACCCCAGACCTGGTTGGATATCCAGTCCCCCAGCCTTGGAATTCACACTGGCTGGGACTCACGGCCTAGCTGCCACTTCCTGCCCAATGGCATTCTGTTGCCATGCAATTCTGACCTGGCACAACTGTGGCTGAGCAAGGGCCTTGCCAAGCTGGCCAGCAGCCTGACTCGCACTACCTCTGTGCCAGGCGTGGTGGGCGGCCTGGAATGAAGGAAGAGGGATGTCCTGTGGCCACTGTGGTCCCCTGCTGGAAATGCTTCCTATCTGCCCGCCAGTGTCACACACACTCTACCTTACAGCAACCTCCCGAGGTCGCCTTGCTAGCCAGCTCTCCAGCGATCTTCGAGGTGTAACCTGCCTCTTCGAGCCAAGCGTGGGTGACAGGGTGCCGCCCACAGCCCACCGCTCCCCTGGGGCATCCACCAGGCGTCGGGCAGCCCAGGCCTCACAATCACCTCAGTGTGTGCCGGCCGCAAGCCGGCCTACATTGGGATCGCGCGTGGGCTCCAGTGGCCGCAGTCTGCCAGGGAGGAGGCGGAGAGCGGCCAGCGTCCCGGGCGCTTCTCCGCGGTGAGAGCGTCTCCCCGGCCCGGCGCGGGTCCTGGGTCCGGGGTCCGGGGTCCGGGGTCGGGCCCCAGCCCCGAGCTGCTCGCTCCCACCCCGAGCTGCTCGCTCCCACCCCTCCCTCTCCCGCCTCCAGGCCCCGCCCCGTCCTGGAGCTCAGCCCGCCGCGTCCCCACCCTCAATCTTTGCGCGCCACCAGGCTCCGCCCCGCCGCCGCTGACGCCGCGCCGCCGTGAGGACCCGCCCCGCGCCCGCCCGCCGCGTAGGGATGGGGACCCGCGGCGGGCGCGGGAGGCGATGATGGGAGGCCATGGCGCGGGCGAGCGGCGCGGCGGCCCCGGAGCGCGCGGGGGGCGCGGCGCGGGCCGAGCCGTGGGAGCTGTCCCTGGAGGAGGTGCTGAAGGTGTACGAGCAGCCCATCAACGAGGAGCAGGCCTGGGCCGTGTGCTTCCAGGGCTGCCGCGGGCTGCGGGGAGCGCCGGGAGGGCGGCGCATCCGCGACACGGCGGACATCCTGCTGCGCAGGGACGGCTCGGTGGGCGCGCGGCGGGAGCCAGGTGAGCCCTCGCTCCCGGGACAGGACTTCCCTCCCCTTCCCCGCCTCAGCCGGACCCGTCCCCGGGACCCCGCCCTGCGCGCGGGCTGGGCTGCAGCATCGAGCGCCCGCCTCCGGCCTCGCCGAGCCCCGGCTCTGGCCGTCCGGCTCCGGTGCTCCCGCTTTGGGGTCTGCAGCCCTCAGTGCAGGTCACGCAGGGCCCCTGGGTGCGGAGTCTGCCTCGGCCGGTGACCCCGCAGGACCTGAAGGGGGAAAGGACACGGACGTGTCCCGGGCTCTTGGGGCAGGGTGTGCCGGCCGGGATCCGGGCTGAATGGAGCTGACACGCAGGCTTGGGCTTGGTGGAGAGGAGAATGTAACTCGGAGAGGGCCGCCTGCTTCTTCTGATGTAAACCATCAATAGGAACCAGACAAAGCCTTTGGAAGGTTTTGAAGTCTATTTAGGGTACTGAGTTTCAGGGTTTACTTTTTTCAGTTCCCCCCGGGAGAACTGGAGTGTTAGTGTGTGGCGCTCAGGGCTTTTACCCAGAAGTTGATACCTGGTTGGGAGTACAAAGGCATCTGTGTGTTTGCCGTGCGAAGCTGGCTTCTCTCAAGCCCCGAGGGCCGAGGGTTTTGAAATTCTTCTGAGGGCCTCCTGGATGGACGGCAGGCACCCAAGTCCAGTTCCTCCTCCCCTGGCCCTTCCTTGCCTGCACCAGTGCCCCGTCCATACCCTGCCTGTTACCCTTGCCAGTCGCTATATTTTGCACAAAAAGCACAGATAACGTCGGTGCGGGAAGTGCTCATGGTGTTATTCCCACTTTAAGCTCAGATAAGCTGAGGCACAAGCTTGACCAGAATGACTCAGAAAGAGGCAGACTTGGGATCAGTCTGACCACTCTGCTGCCTTGTCTTTCCAAGGCTGGATGAGGGGAGGGGCAGGTCCGGGGGGGTGGCCCTGGGCACGGGCCAGAACCTGCCTGTGGATGGTTTCCACTTGAGGCCATGTTCTCCCTGGGCTGTGCGAGCTCTGGAGATGAAGAATCCACCAGCTTCTGGCTTCCAGCCGGGCCACCTTTGAAAGTGAGGGTCCTGGGTCTCCTCAGCCCCCAGGGTGGCTTCAGTCTCTTTCCTGGTAGGGCAGCCCAGCAGCATTTCCTGGCTGGGGTCAGAGCCGAGGAGGGCACTTTGTTGACCTTTAGGGAGAGGTACCAGCCTGTGGCACCAAGGAGCCAAATTTCATTTTCTGTTCGTCATGGTCTTTCGTTAGGGTTTGGTTCATGAACATGTCTCAGATAAATGAGATTTATGACTTTCAGCCTCTTTTTTTAAAAGATGAGTTCTGTTTCCCAGGCTGATTTTAACGTCTGGCCTCAGCCTCCTGAGTGCTGGGACTATGGGGACTTGGTGGCTCTTTAAGAACTAAGAAAAGTATATGGAGCTGAATTTACCCTTCTGTCCTTGAACCTCTGAATCAGCTAAAACTTAGCTCAGCTGCTCCACAAAGGTAGCCTAGCCTTCTCCTGGGCTTGCATGACTGAGAGAGATGTCCATTGTTGCTTCCTGTAAGCAGCAGTCAGGAAAAGGCAAACATCAGCCTTGTCAGCACTTCGGTCTATTGTTGATGCCAACTCATTTTCTGAATGTGCTTCACTGGGCATGGGGCCCTTTGTATCTGTCCTCTCTTACGAATTTCTGGTTGGCTGAGGCAGTGATAAATATTTAAAGCAACTGAAAAACATCAACACACAGCCAATTGGGTGTAGTGATGCAGCCTGACATCCCAGGGCTCTGGGAGGCTGAGGCAGGAGAGTCACAAATTCCAGCCCAGCCTTGGCAATTTAGTGAGCCCCTGTCAAACTGAAAATGAAACAGAAGCAAAGACTGGGGATGTAACTCACTGTGCAGGCCCTGGGTTTGATGCCCAGTGCTAAAAGAAGACGAAGAAACCTCCCTAGCTTCATAGCCTGCCTGGAAGCTTTGGTTTATTTGATTGTATTTTTGTTTTGTCTAAGTGGGCAAATGGAAAGCATGTTAACATGTGGAGTTATCTTTAAGAGGCTATACTAGAACCTCGTTATGGGGAATCCTTTTTAAAACTCTGTCCGTCAGGCTACGCTGTCCTGTAGCAAGGCCACACCCTCAGACCCGGCTGCTCGGGTGTCAGGCCCTGCACTGTTCTTGGGGTGTTCCGGACCCCCGCCCACTGTCCTCCAGGTACCACGTGTGGAGGTGAGAGTCTGATGTCCTCATGAGATGCAGCAGGGTGAAGTTCGCTTTTCTCCCTTCGCTCCTTTCACTCTGCCCACACACAGTCATACACAGAGTTTTAATTTTTCTCTCTGGACAACTTTTTCTTTTGGCCCTGGAGATGCCAGGGCCTTATGTATGCTAAACATGGGCTCTGCCACTGAGCTCCGCCCCGACCTGGCCGAGAGACCCCAGCAGCCTGCCTCTGGCTCCACAGGCGGCCCCCCCAGCCCCCCATTCCAGCTTACGCCACATGGACTCCAGGCCTAACCAGCACTGCTCCTGTTGCAAGCTGAGTTCCCAACACGGAAACACTCCCAGGAAGTCTGCCTGGAACCGGACTGTGCACCCATGAAAGCTGCAGCTGTCTTTCTACCCCTGACTCCAGCCCTGCTGAAGAGTGGCTCTGGCATCTCAGAGTGATGGTGGCCCAAACCCAGGGGCCAGGGGACAGTGAGGGGACACTAGTGAGGGGCCCACAATGCCTGGCACAGGGAGCACAGCTGGGCTCCATCGCTGTTTCTGCTCTGCCTTTACTGCGACCATCATCCCAGCTGTGGATGCCTGGGAGCAGAGGTGGGATCCAGCTTCTAAGGGATGTGCTGTCCCCACTGCTGGCTCCCTGTGCTGCTGAGCCCCCTCAGCCCACCACGGCCTGTCTGTCTGTTCCGCTTGCTGTTGTTTTTGTTTTGCAGTACTGGAGATGGAAAACAGGCTTTCACACTACATCCCCAGCCTGCCTTGTTTTCTTTTGGTTTTTTTGAGACAGGATCTCACTATGAAGCCGAGGCTGGGCTGGAGCTTGCAGTCCTGCCTCAGCCTCCTGAGTGTTGGGGTTACAGGTGTGTACCTCTACAACTGGCTTCCTCCCACATTTCTTGATGGTGACTGGGTCCTCTCCGCAGTGTTCCTTTCAGAAAAGGGGAAGCAAAGGTCAGGGTGAGGCCCAGGCTGGGTTTTGGGTGTGGTGACTGCTGGCTGCTGGATGTGCTGTGGGTGTGAGCGTCTGTAGATCCTTTTCCTGATTGGGTCGCCAGATCAAGGCTCACCGCAGAAGGACAGTCCTTCCTTTGCTTCTCTCTGGGTGGCTGTGTCTGGGTGTTGCCAGGGCACCTGCCCCAGCCTGCCCAGCCCCACACTGTGTGTTTGGGAGGAGGGCTCCACTATAAGGGATGGTGTGTGTGTGTGTCCCTGTGTGCATTGTGCCGCCTCGGCCCTGGTCCTTCCCTACCACTATCCCAGTGTCCATGAAGGTTGGCTTCTCTGCCTCCTAGGACAGAATTGACTGTCTTTCCGCTTCAGCATAAGCCACTGGAGTGGCGGTTACAGCCTACTACTTGATGGCATGGTCCAGTCCTGGGATGCGGCCCATTTAAGCCAATCCACTGAGATTTGGTTGTGATCACTGACTGACCCCTCTGAGGAGGCCTGGTCCGGAGGGGGCTGAGGCTGGTGAGAGATGAGGGCTGCCTGGAGCTTCGGCCTGCTAGTTAGGCATGTTGTAGGAGGGTTCAGGGCACTGAAGGGGGTGAGGATCTGCTTATTCCGGTGGGTTTGCCTCCCGCGCTTTCCTGAGGAGAGGAGGGTATGGTGTAGTTCAGTGCTAGAGCACTTGCCCAGGACGCACAAGGCCCTGGCTTTGATCCCCAGCAGCCCCCAAAGAAGAGTGGATAGATTTCCTACAGCTTCTACAACAAGTTGCCACAAATTTGCTGGTTTAAAGCAGCGTGCATTTATTCTCTTGCAGTTTAAGTCCGTAAACCTTGAGCCTTCTTTGACCTTCAGGTCAGCCACTGGCACTCACCTTCTTGGCCCTAGATTCCACTTGCCCCATGACATAACATTCATGGGCTCTGGGGACTAGAACAAGGACAGCTGAGGGGCGAGGACAGGCGTTTGTGAACACTGCCTCGCCCAATTTCACCCTCAGCATCAGGCCTGCCGGATCTTCCAGTTCAGGCCCAGGAATCTGTTCCAAAGCTGCATGGAGCCACAGATCCTCATGCAAGTTCAGGGTGGTCATCCCCTAACTCTGTTGCCCTGGGGGTGTCAGGGTCTCTGGGTCCCACCCTAGTCAGCCACACCTGGGAATCTGCATCTCTTGTGGACACAGCTGATCTGCTGTTCGGGGCTCCATGGATCTCAGCCCTGAGACTGCGTGGTCCAGGTCTTGCTCAAGTGCATGTGATCGGTGCCGAGCGACTCTTCCATCAGCCGGGACCTGAGTGGTTGAGAGGGGCAGAGGCGTGGTCTGGTGTCAGCCCTGAGCGAGTGGGGGCAGTCCAGGCCTGAGTGTCAGCTTGATGGTGTTGGGGAGGTTGCCACTCTCTGGGTCTAGGAGACTGGGGATATCCACGGGTGCCATTGTTGGGGAGGCACAAGGACCTTGACCTCTGGCCCAGTGAGGGGGCACCTCCCGGGGTCTGACTGTCCCCAGGCCACGGCCTCACTGTTGTCCCCACTGCTGTTGTTGCCTGCCAGCCAGGGTGGGGCTGGCTGTGGAGTTCAGAGAGAGCAGGATGCCAGGGCTGTGAGGAATGCAGGATGCTGAGCGAGCGTCCCTCTCCCTCAGGTTGCTGGCGCCTCACCCAGGTCTCTCTCAGGTCTCGGCCTGGTGCCTGGAGGGGGGATGGTGTCCAGCTCCCATCAGCCACCGCCTGGCTGTCTGTTGAAAGGATGCGGAAGTGAAACACAAACCTCGGAGGTGGAGCACAAACCTCGGAGGTGGAGGTGGAGGTGGAGGTGGAGGTGGAGGTGGAGGTGGAGGTGGAGGTGGAGGTGGAGGTGGAGGGAGGCAGACACACCCGGGTCACTTTGACCCAAAGAGCTCCCTGTTTGCTAAACAAACATGGGACTTCTGACTCCTGTGGTTTCTCAGGGTGACTCTCCTGTGGGCTGGTGCTTGGTGAGGGCTCTACTGAGTTTTAAAATCGTTTCCTGACAATGGAGCAAGCATTTATGGAGAGCTTATCAAGTGCCAGACACGTGGTGCCTTTTATTGACCCCTTGGCGTGACCTCGGTGGCATGGATGGCTCTTGCCCAAGAGGGAACCACTTTGGTCCTCAGAGCCAGGCAGGGTGTTTGACTCCCAGGTCCCCGGCTCTCTGAACCCCCTCCACCTATGGGGTGTGCACTCCCTGTGTTCTCCTGTGCCCTCTTCACACCACCGAAGAGTCCTGTACCCTTGCACCCAGCCACCTTGCAGGCACCCACTGCCAGAGCATTTGCTGCGCACCAGCTCTCTGGTGGCTGCAGCTCTGAGCCAGGGGCTATGAATGCTTGTTCCCAAGGTGGGGTCTTGGATCAACATAGCACAGAGGACACTGTGTTCGCTTTAGTGGCTCCCTGCTGTCCTCTAGGCAGAAATCTCTGCGAGTCTTTGACAGGACAGCTTCGGGTGACTTTGTAGGCATGTGGCAGACCTGCTACATGGAGGCGAGAGGGGGTGATTCTGAGAGGCGACGTGGGTGCTCTCCTGCGGTTGTGGCCAGTTCATGTGTCTGCCAGAAGTGAGTGTTCCTTGTCCCCCCAACTTGCTGTGGCCACATGGGCGCTCCTGAGAACCTGATGCCCGAGACATGGGCTGGGGGGTGTGTACCCCTTCTGGTCGTCACTCAATGCTGGGGCTGGGGCTGGGCCTGGGGAGCAAGGGGGCTGTGGTCTCGCAGGACGGGGATAATTGTGTTCCCCACCACGCAGACCCCAGGGCTCCTGGCAATATGCTGTCCGTGTCCACAGTGACACCCCAGAGTGTCCGTGTCTGGTAATCTCACTTCCCCTTTGAGGTGACAGGTGAGTTAGGATGTGTCTTAGTTACTTTTCTTGTTGCTGAGAGAAAATACTCGACACCCTAAGTTAAAGGAGGAAAGGTTTATTTGGTCACAGTTTATAGAGGTTTCAGTCTATAATCAGCTGACCCCAAGGCAGGGTGGCCTGGCAGAGGAGAAACAGCTCATGGGGGGCAGAAGGCAGCAAAGCACCAAGGGAGGACTCAGCTCTTTCTGTTCCTTATATCTTATCCAGGCTGCTTAAGGCGGGCAGTGCTCACACCCTTAGCCCTAGTGCCCTTGGTCCTAGCAGTGCACCATGAATCAATTCTAGTGTCCCACTTTTTAGATCCAGCCACCTCTGAAAAAGCCCCACCCATGGCTGCATGAGGCTTCTCGTGGGCGGGGAGGGGGGGCGGTGTGTCTAGACACAAACCGTAATAGCCTGGTTTCCATCCTGCAAGGAAGAAAGTGAGGTCACAGACAGACACCTGGAGCCTGATGACCCCGGGCGGCAGCTGGTGACATCTTCCCTCCATGCGCCTGTGGGACACCTCCCTTAGGAGCTGCTCAGGGGAACCCAGGTTCAGGGCTCCCAGGTGCTGTCTTCCAAGTGAAGTTGTCCTCTGAAGTCATCCTCTTTTACTCCGTGACCAGGGTGGTTTCCGAGAGAATGCTCTGACTTCTGATCGATCTTCACTTGTGTTCTGTGCAGAATACTGGAGTGTTTTCCTCTCCCCAAGCCAGGCTGAGCCCCTGCAGAGGTGGCCCCGAGCAGAATACTAGCCCTTAGCAGAGCTTGGGGTGACAGTGAAGAACACCGGCTTCCCACAGCCTTGGTCTGCTTTTGTCGGTGCAGGTGCTCTTCCCTGGAGAGAATGTTTTATTTATTTATTTATTTATTTTTGGTACTGGGGATCGAACTCAGGTCCTTGCGCTTGCGAAGCAGGTGGGAGAACCACTGAGCTAAATCCCCGGCCCCTGGAGAGAATGTTTTAATAAGTAAAAGTCATATGTGACCCTATCTGGCAGCTCCGAGGTGCCACGTGGGTTAGTGAAGAGTGTGTTGGGATCTGCAGTCTTGGTGAGCTTGCGCTGCCGTGTGCTCACTGGCTTCCAGTCCTCGGGTACCTTCCTCCACCTCCCTGAGCCCGGGTACCGCACCGAAGAGGCGGAGCCATGGCTTCAGCCTGGAGGAGGCAGCTGCAAGTATGGGCTGAGGCCTCCCTACTGGCTTGTGGGGGTGTAGTGTCCACACCAGTTCTTGCTCATCAAACCCCAAAGACCCCAAGACCTTGCAAATTAAGACATAATTAGATTCATGAGCATATTATTTAAGCCAGGGACAAAGAATTAATGATGTTACAACAGAACCTGGAGGTGGTGGCACACACCCGGAATTGCAGCTTCTCGGGAGGCCAAGGCAGGAGGATCCCAAGTTGAGGACAAGCCTGAGCAAGTGAGACCCCGTTCCAAGATAAGAGGGCCGGGGATGTAGCTCAGTGGCACCCCACCTGCCTCGCAAGTGCAGGGCTGAGACAATTGCACCTTCCAGCCAAAAAAAAGGCATTTAAAAAAATTTAAAGAGAATGAAAAAGGCTGAGGGAAATGGAGTACTACTCAGCCATGAAGAACGAGAAACTAGAGTCATTCATAGCTACATGGATGCGAATGGAGGCCATGCTCTTTTTTCTGGTATCGGGGATCGAACTCAGGACCTTGCACTTTCGAGACAGGCGGTGGAACCGCTGAGCTAAATCCCCAGCCCTGAGGCCATACTCTTAAGTGAAATAAATACGACACACATATGTAAATACCGAATAGTTTCCCTGATGTGAGGAACTGAAAGGGTGCATAAGGATCAACATGTGTAATAGATAATGTGAAATAGGAAGAAAAGGTCCAAAGGGGAGGAGGAAGTGGGAGGAGGAGGGGAAAGGAAAGAAGGGAAAGGAAAAAATACCAGCAAAGGAAAAAATGGAAACAAAGTCTCTGTAAATAGGGAGGGGTGGAAGGATTAAAGGAAGGACAGGGGAATGGGGAAAAAATAAGAACCAAGATGCACCTTGTAAAGGTACAAGTTCCCAGTGATGAATGTCATCATATCGTACACCTAAAATGGACCAATAAACTTAATGGAAAAAGAAGAAAGGAAAAGGCTGAGGATATAGTTCAGAGGCAGAGTGCTTGCCAAGCGTGCTTGAGGCCCTGGGTTTAGTCTCCATTACTGGAAAAAAAATCCAGCGGGAAGCTTCCCGGCACCCAAGGCCCTGGACAGGACCTGTGCTCAGCCTGCAGAGAGCCCACGCGCGCGCGTCCCGCCCCGCCCCGCCCCGCCTCGCCCCGCCTCGCCCCGCCTCGCCCCGCCCTGCCTGGCCTCCCGGCCTCCTCCAGAAAGTGCCTTTGCTCCCGACTGATTCTTCCTCTCCCGAAGGTCGCTGGTCACAGGCCCAGCTTTGGGCTTTCGCTGAGTGCCTGACACGGTGCACTGCGTGCACTGCCTGCTGCTGCGCTGCCTCTGCTCGCCTCGGTGACCTTGCGGTGTGGGGCTGGATCGTTTCTCAGTACTCTAATGGCTTGCGGTCCCCCTTCGGCTCTGGCAGGCTTCCCGGTCCCCAGGGCATTCTGGAAAGGTTTGTGCAGTGCACAGGTTCTGTTGCTTTCACGGTTGGATTTTTCTTGCTTGCTGCACTCCAGAGAGACTCAGACCACTGAGCTCCCTGCGCACCGTGGCCGAGGTGTGACGAGGGCAGCTTTCTGTCTTGCTCTCTGGCATCTTGGGAGGAGTGGGCACGGCTGGCACAGCAGATTCAACTCACTAGTCTTTTTTGGGGGGGTACCTGGAATCAAACTCAGGGCCTCTCACTCGCCAGGCAGGCGCAGCACCACTGAGCTGCATCCCAGCCCTCACAGCTGATGCGGCATCACCCCCTGTGGTGGGTGCCCTCCCAGCCCCTCCTGAGCTGTGCTCTGTGAAGTGGGCTCAGTCCCCAGTCCCCAGTTTCTCAGATAAAGTGCAGGGTCCGGCTTCCCCTGCACCCTAGCCTGGGGGCTTGCTCTCAGGGGCTCAGTCTGGGGAAAGGCCCGGGCAGGAGCTGCAGTCAGGGTGGCTTATCTCAGCAAAGCCTGCCTACCGGTGACCGTCACTGTCACTGCACCCCAGGGGACATCAGCCCTCTGGGGGTGGGGCTGCACCTTCTCTGTCCCTACACCCAGGCATCCTGCCCACAGGTGCTGCCCAGAGCTGGCTCGTGCTGGGCCTGGCAGGTGTGTCGGAGTGACCTGTGCTCTCTCCTCCTTGGGGCTGCCAAAGATCAACCCCATGGCCTTGTGCACGCTCCATCTGGAGCTGCTTCCAGCCCCCTCTGCTGTTCCTTTGGAGACTTTGGGGGTGCTGTGCTCCCCAAGGGAAAGGAGCTGGGAGAAGGGCAGTCAGCCCTGTGCATGGGGGTCTGGGGCTGCCACCAGCCTGATTTACTGTCTTCTCTTGCAGAGCCCACAACCTTGGTGGTGCCGCCGGCCAGCTCAGAAGCTCAGGTACTTAAAAACGATTTGTTTTATCTATTTTTTTTTTTTTTGGTACCAGGGATTGAACTTGGGTCCCTGCACTTGCAAAGCAGGCGGCGAAACCACCGAGCTAAATCCCCAGCCCTATTTTATCTATTTTTGAGACAAGGTCTCACTGTGTTCTTCAGGCTGGCCTTCAACTTGCTGTGTAGCCCAGCTGGCTTCAGTCTCAAGGCAGTCCTTTGGCCTCAGGCTTCCATGTGCATGCCTGGCTTTAAAGAGAGTCTTAAAGATGAGTTGAGACATGTCAAAATGTACCTGGATTGTTTAACGTAAATTGCAAAAGCATATAAAGTTAGGGTTGTTTCACTGAGCCAAGACACAGATGAAACACTGAAGGGGCTTAGCAGAGGGGCTTATGGAAGAACCCATTTGCAGAGGACCTGAGGGCAAAGGCCCCTTGGGCTTCCCCAGTCACCACCCTTATATCTCACACCCAAGAGTCGAGGGGCCGTGCTGTTGGGCCTGCTGTCCTTCCAGGGTTGGCCTTGCAGGGCACAGAGCTTGGGGCTAGGGGTGGCTTCTAGGGGCAATCAGGAAACCAGCCCAAGGGATCCCCACCCAGCCAAGGCTTCAGACCTCACTACCAGTGTGTCTTCCTGTGCCCTGAGCCTGATGTTTGAACAAACATCCCACTGTCTTCAAAAATCAGGGTTTTACTGCAAAACCTACTTGTATATTAAACAGTGGCATGCCAGAGGTGGAGATGGGCACAATCCAAAGTGGATACATGATTGCTGTTGGGGACATAGAAACCAGAGCAAAGCCGGCCCTAGGCTATGTGCTGCTTTTTGTCACCACCCATAATTCCTAACAATGCCAGTGACAAGATATCCCCACCACTATGAAATATAAAAGCACCCTGCATTGCTGTGAGCTCTGTGAAAGTGGCACTGTTCTATATAGAGATTCTGGGGATTTGGGGGAGGAATGACTATGTGTTTCTAAGACACCCCTGGATGGCTGTGTGGCCATGGTCATTCTTTTTCACTGCTGCATAATATTCCAGGTGGTGTCTCCCCCCGCCCCCCGCCCAGTCCTGTACTCTGGGGCAGGAAAGTCAGCTGGCTCCTGTTGTCCAGAGTTCCCAAGTAGAGATGAAGCTGCTGGCTACCACGTGAAGACTCTTCCAAAAGGTTCCTGTTGTTAAGCATCTTAAAGACATTTATAAGGAACTTCAGGGGGAATGTGGTCTGGACCTTTCCTCAGAGGCCCACAAGTAGACCTAAGAGCCCACCCCTGGGAAACTGAGTGGGGTCTCTGCTTAGTACCTAATCATGACTCTGGCTATATGGGCTCTAGGAGATGCCAGAGGGTCTCTGGGTGCCAGCAGGTTTCTAAGCCAGCCATGCCTGCAGGCTCCCAGGGGCCAGTGCAGCCAGGAGCTACAACTTGAAGCTTCACTGGGGACTGGGCCTGGCCCGCTGTCGAGGCCTCTCTTATAGGAAAGAAGTGTTTGTGCCTCCCGGAGAGTTTCCCGTGACTGGGGCAGAGAAGAGCTTTCACTGACAGACCTGTCAGCTATCAGACAGCAGGATGAGAGTCAGCCTTTCCCTGGCACAGGCCAGCCCAGGCCAGGGCAAGGAAGAGGGGCACAGTGCCCAGGCCCTGGCTGTACACTTTCCTGCTTGGTCTCTCCTGAGGTTCCCAGCAGTGCTGCCTCACTCCCAGCATCAGCACAGAGCTGCAGGAGAGCCAGGTGGCATGAAATTCCCTCCCTGCCCCAAGCCTAACCTTGCTCTTTCCTGTCAAAAGACAGTGGGTGGGGACGTGTGTGACCTGTGCTTTTCCACCCTTCCTGCCACTGAGGCACCCAGGAGCTGCACATCCCCAAGGGACCCCACGGTGGCTGGGCCTCTGACTTGGGTGTGAGCAGATCCCTGCCTTCTCGTCGGCCTGCAGCAGAGATCGCCAGGCTTGGCCTCTGGGGGCCGCTGGTCTCTGCTCCCTCAACTGCCTCGCTTTTGCAAGGGTCCAGAGCTTGGGCAGCAACTCCTAGGACATGGGCTGTGCTTGAGAGCTCTTTCCCTGCTGGGCACTGGCTCTCACCACCTGTGCTTGTGGTGCCCGGCCTGGGCTGGGTTCCTGGGCTCTGGTGCTGGGGGCCCAGGAAATGGGAGGAGAGGCCACTCAGCAGGTGCACACAGGAAGAAGTGACAGTGCCCGAAGAGGGTGTGGCGCCATCTGCCACACAGCACTGCCACCCTGGGAGCAGGGCACAAAGGTTAGGGCTGGCGTGAACCAGTCCCAGGCCTATCATTCATTTGGCAGCTGTGGCCCAGGGTCTGGTGTCCCTGGCCTCTGCCTTAGGGAAGGGGACAGTGGGTTGTTGGTGACTAAGCGGATGAGTTATGAAGAGGACTCTGCAGGTGCTGTGCACAGGAAGGCTGTTGTCCTGTGTGCATGCATCTTTCCTACCTTTGATGAAGGAAAGTATGAAGCCTGGCCTTTGGCCCACACCTGTCATCCCAGTGCTCTGGGAGGCTGAGACAGGAGGATCACAAGTGTGAGCCCAGCCTGGGCAGCTCGGCAACTTAGCAAGACTCTCACTCTCTCTCTCTCTCTCTCTCTCTCTCAAAAAAAATGTATATAAATGTTTAAAACAGCCAGGGATGTAACTCAGTAGGAAGGCCCTGGGTTCAATCTTCAGTATCCCCCCCAAAAGGAAAGTGTGAAAACCTTTGGAAATAAACACAGAGCTGCTCTAGTCAGGAGCATGATGCTTGCCCTGCTGAGCTGGGCTGAGCCGGCTGAGGGCCCTGGCCTTCTAAGGGCTCTGTGCAGGCAGGGCCGAGAAAGCCAGCATTGGGGGTGAGCACAGCCACATTGCCCAGGGCCTCCCACTGAGCCTGGTCCTAGGGCATCAGGGTGGAAGGTGAGCATAGGGTCCCTGCCAGTACAGTTGAGAAATGTCCAGTGTGGTGGTGCACGCCTGTAATCCCAGCACTCGGGAGGCTGAGGCAGGAGGATTTAGTGAGTTTGAGGCCAGGCTGGGCCACATAGTGAGTTCAAGGCCAGCCTGAACTGCATAGTGAGACCCTGTCTCCAAAAAGAAAAGAGAGAGAGAGAAAGAAGTTGAGAAGTAGCGAGTCAAGGGGCCTCTACTGTGAGGCTGTACAGATTTTTAATTACTTAAAAAATACTTATTAGGAACGGGGATTTAGCTCAGTGGCACCCTACCTGCCTTGCAAGCACGAAGTCCTGAGTTTGATCCCTGGTACCAAAAAAAAACTTACTAAAAATACTTGGGCTGGGGATGTAGCTCAGCAGGGCAGGACCTGCCTGGCAAGGGCGAGGTCCTGAGTTTGATTCCTGGTGCCAAAAAAAAACCTTAGTAGGGAGAACTTTAGCACATATACAGCAGGCAGAATGGTGCTGTGGGCCCTCTGCACTGAGCCCCATGGGTTGCCCAGTCCTGACCCACACCCTGGGTCCCTCCACAGTCCTCCCACCACCCATGCAGGTTAGATTCATGTGCACCGAAAAGTCACATGCATTGTAAAAGATGTGAGGTGCCTTTTTTTTTTAAAGACTGGGGACTGAACCCAAGGCCTTCACACTGAGCCACACCCCCCACCTTTTTTATTTTTTCTTTGAGACAGTCTGTAAATCACTAAATTACCCAGGCTGGACGCAATCTTGTGATCCTCCTGCCTCAGCCTCCCAAGCGCTGGGATTATAGGCATGTGCCACCATGCCTGGCGATGAGATATCGTTTTTTCACAAATGGCAAAATGTGTGACTTGCAGGAGTTAATTAGCTTTCTGTTACTGTAAGAAATACCTGAGATCATCAGAGAGAGGAGAGATTTACTTTGGTTCCTGGATTTTGGGGTTTCAGTCTGACCAGTCAGCCCTGGTGCTGGGCCTGTGTTGATACAGGACATCATGAACCAGGCCGTGGTGAGGAAGCTGCTCACCTCGTGGTGGTGGGAAGAGAGGAGGAGCAAGGTGCTGGGTCCCCTGTCCCTTATCGCACCCCAGCAATGGCCCCCAGGACCTGGAGACAGCGCTAGGCCCACCGCAGCCTCCCCTTCTGGAGACGTTTGCAAGGTGGGCTGGGGTGGGGCTCTGAGACAGAGTCCTGCGTGGCATGCATGAGACCCTGGCCCACCCCAGCCCTGCACACAGGGAGCCCCGACTAGTGGCAGTGGGGCCTGAGGTCAGCGTGTCTTTCTCCGTGGGTCAGAGTTCTCGGCTGTGACGCAGCGAGGCTGCTGTGCTCAGGGCGTTCGTCTCTCCTAACCAGCTTTCCTGCAGCCTGCACTGTACCACCAGCACCAGAGTCAAGACAGAGACCTGCTGGGTCTCCAGAAGTCCCCCTGGGGCCTTCCTCTCCCACCCCACCACAGCACAGGGGACACAGGGAGCCGCTGGCCTCTTGCTGTCACTTTGGCGAGGTTCCTTTTGCTTAGAGGTTCATGTAGAGAGAAGCATGCAGTGTGAAGGCATTCGTGTGCCTCAGTCTGGGTAATGGAGTGACTCACAGCCTGTTAGTCTCTTTTTCCTGCTCTGTAGGAACCGTCACTGTTTCCAGGTTTGGGTATTTCTCTCTGGTAAATCCTGGAAGCAGAGGTGCGAAGTCAGATGGTGGATGCATATTTGATTGTAAGGAGCTTCCAGGAGAGGGACATGGTAGTATTTGCCTGTAATCATAGCCCTTGGGAGGCTGAGGCAGGAAGATCACTTCAAGTTTCAGGCCAGCCTGGGCTGCACCCTGGGCTAGTGAGACCCTGGCTCAAAATACAAAAAAAAAAAGAAGAATCGTCCAGGCTATTTTCCAAAGTGGCTGATGTGTTTGGGTGTCATGCGTCTGTTTCTGTGTGACCACGGCCCCTCCCAGCCCCTCCCCCAGTGTCCCCATGGCTGGACGCCCAGCGTGACGCTGTCCCTGTCCCACAGATGGTGCAGTCCCTGGGCTTCGCCATCTACCGCGCGCTGGACTGGGGCCTGGACGAGAGCGAGGAGCGCGAGCTCAGCCCGCAGCTGGAGCGGCTCATCGACCTCATGGCCAACAGCGACCACGATGACGGCGGCGGCTGTGGGGCTGCGGACGAGGGTTACGGGGCCCCCGAGGAGGAGGAGGAGCCCGAGGGCGGCCCCCGGGCCGTGCGCACCTTCGCCCAGGCCATGCGGCTGTGTGCCGCTCGCCTCACCGAGCCCCAGGGTGCGCAGGCGCACTACCAGGCCGTGTGCCGCGCCCTCTTCGTGGAGACCCTTGAGCTCCGCGCCTTCCTGGCCCGAGTCCGAGAGGCCAAGGAGGTGAGTTACGCGCCCAGGGTGAGGGAAGCAGGGCTCCGCCGAGATCCGGGCGAGCGCCAGCAGCAGCGCCCGCCTCTGGCCTGCCCAGCGTGGGGCAGCCTCCGTTGGGGAGTCGCTCTGGGCAGCCCGGTGCTCCGCCCCACGCACCACCTCACGCCTCCTTTTTACCAGGTTTTCAGAGGAAGGCAGTGGAGGCCTGAGGTCCATGGTAACTGGCCCCCAGCCCTGCCTCCTGACCAGCACTCCAAACCCAATAGGTCCTTTATCCTCTCTAATCCCACTTTTAGGTCCGGAAGAGGGAAGTGCCAGGCCTCTGGCCCAAGACCCCATCCTGAAAATACGGTACTAGCAACACTTATGTCCCCCACTCTGAACCACACACGCTCAGACCCACATGAGCTCAGGACCTCAGGGGCACAAGACCTCGTAAGCCCTGGACCATAGAAGTACCTAGTGCCCAGCAGGGCCAGGGAGGCATGGGTCCAAAGCACACATGCCCAGGGCCTGACAGGACCAGACCCATAAGCTTAGAATCACTCAGGCTCAGGGCCACAGAGGCCCAGACCCACGCAGACCCAGAAGCACCCACAACTGACCCAAACAAGCCTGGATCCCCAGCCGAGGACTAAGCAGGCTCAGACCCAAACTGGTACAGACCCTGACCCAGACAGGCTTGGGGACACAGCTCTGGGCCACAGAGACTCACCCACAGAGGCCCAGACCCCCACAGGCCCAGTCTCCCACAGGATGAGGACCACAAACACCTGACCCACGAGCTGAGGCCAGCACAGGCCCAGACCCACAGGCCGAAGGCCATTCAGGCGCTGGAACACACTGCTCAGCTCAACACCCCTCAGGCCTAGCTGCACACAGGGTCAGGACCTCATAGGCCCAAGGAGCTCTGGGCCTTGACCTAGACCCACACAAACATAGGGTCCCAGAGACCAGGACCCCCACATCCGCTTAAGGCCACACACGCCCAGGGGCACACAGGCCAGGACCGCACAGGACATTCTCATTTGGACAGTGGCCCCTTCCTTCAGCAGAGCACATCATTTCCCAGACAGCAGGGCTTTTACTTTAGTAGGGGGGTATTCTCATCCAGACAAGAAGTCTCTCATTGAGCAAGGGTTCTCAGCTTGCACTGTACCCGTGGAGTCTGATGTTTAGTGAATTGGCATGAAGCACAGAGAGAAGGGTTCCTTGGGGCACAGTGTGCTCACCAAGCAGGCCTTTTGGATGAAGTGGCCTAATCAAGCTAGGTGTGGACTCAGGAAGGCTGGGAGAGGTGCCTGTGCCTGTTGCCATACGAGCCAACTTGTTCCCACAGGGACTCCTACTAGAATCGCATACCTTCTGCTGCTCTGTGTTGCTGGGGTCACCAGGGCAGTTTGCCAGTGGCGTGGGGTGAATGCCAGGGCACTTGGCTTTGTCTTGAGGGTGGCTGCGTGCTGAAGGGCAGATGCCCTCTTAGTGGATGAGTTAAGGGAATGGGGCCTCCGGGCTGCCAAAGATCCAGGGCACCTGAGGCAGTGTGTCCAGTGCTTTCCCGATTGCCAGCGTAGAGCAGTCAGTGTCCCCGATGGCCCTGACACCCATCCAGGGTCCCAGTCACCATGACTGTCCTAGCCTGCTGCTAACCCACCCCCACCCACCCTCTCTGCAGCTCGGGTCTGGGGACCTGGCACACGCACACCGCTGGCCAGACCTCCTCAGAGCAGATGTGGGCTGAGGCAGGGTCCCTTGTGCCTTGGCCGGTATCCTGCATGGAGACACAGCTGGGTGCGAAGAGGGTGGGCCCGCCTGGGGCCTGGGTCTGCAGGAAAACAGAGCTCTGCACACCGGGCTCCCACACCTGTGCGTGCTGTCTGTGAAGACACAGCGCCTCCTGGTGGACATGGGTCACTGGGAGCAGTGCCCTGTGGGACTTGGCCTGTCACCAGTTCCTGCCTAGGACTAGCTTCCAGAGAACGGTGGCCAGGTACCATGTGTGGCTCCCAGGCAGACGCTGCTTTCTCTGGGTGTCTTCCTGAGCCCCAGCCCCAGGACCTGCATGCCTCATGTGGCTGGCTAAGCAGCAGCCGGGGCGGGGGCTGTCCCCGACACCTCACCCCCCTGCACTAACCAGTGGTGTGGTCCCAGATGCTGCAGAGGCTGGGGGAGGATGAGCCACAGATACAGAAGCCACGAGCTGAGCTTGACAACCTTGGACACACAGACTGGGTAAGATGCGGCCCTCCTACCCCACCCAGGGTTAGCACCAGGAAGCCATGGTGCCTGTGGGCTGACAGCCATTCCTTTTCCTCTGGGCCAGGCCCGGTTGTGGGTGCAGCTCATGAGGGAGCTGCGCCATGGGGTGAAGCTCAAGAAGGTGCAGGAGCAAGAGTTCAACCCCCTGCCTACCGAGTTCCAGCTTACACCCTTCGAGATGCTGATGCAGGACATCCGCGCCAGGAACTACAAGCTGCGCAAGGTCATGGTGAGCCCACCCAGGCCTTGCCTCACTGAGGCCGGCAGGGGCCATGGAGTACGGACAGGCAGCTGTGGCCCTGACCCTGCCACTCTGGGTTCCACTGGGTCCCGCAGGGCTGTGCAAGGCCGGGTGCCCCGAGAGGGGACCATCCAGTGCAAGATTGCAGGATTTGCAGCTCTCACCTGCACTGGCTTCACTCTTAGCATTTTATATTTGTTTCTCTTCTTGAGACAGGGTCTTGCTGTGTAGTTAGGGCTGGCCTTGAACTTACTATGTAGCCCAGGCTGGCCTCAATCTCTAGATCCTCCTACGTCAGCCTCCCGAGTGCTGGAGTGACAGGCATGTGCCACCACACCCAGCTTCGTAGGATTTTAATGGGCCAGTCACCCTCACTGTTATGACAGCTCGGTGAGGTGGGCACTCCCAGTCGCACTTCCAGAAGAGCCTGAGGTACAGGAGGCTTGGGTGGTGGGCTTAGCGGGTGCTGTCGCCATCCTGAGGCATGGCCCTGTGCCTGTCCCACACCTGTCCTGGAGCCACGAGAGGGAGGATGGGTGTGAAGACCAGGACCTTGGAGCCCTTGGTCCTCAGCCTGGCTGCCCCCTGTCCTGTCCACCTGCAGGTGGATGGGGACATCCCTCCCAGAGTGAAGAAGGACGCACATGAGCTCATCCTGGACTTCATCCGCTCCAGGCCTCCCCTGAAACAGGTACTGGCCCTGCACATCCCTCTCCAGGGCACCCAGAGCCCAGTGCTGCCCTCTCTTCCACGGGAGGCTGCCCGGCTCTCTCTGGCCTGCAGACTGCCCTGGAACTGTGTGGCCAGGGTCTTCTCTGGGAAGAGCTCTGTTGGCGCAGATGCCCACCAGCCCCCAGGCAGTACCCCCGCACAGCAGTAGGTGTGGCACCAAGTGCCCTGGACTCCAGGTGGAGGACAGTGCCCATGTCCCTCTTCCTCTGGCCACCGCTTCCTTGCAGGTCTCTGAGCGCCGGCTTCGCCCACTGCCACAGCAGCAAAGGACCCTGCACGAGAGGATTCTGGAGGAGATCAAGCAAGAGCACAAGCTGCGGCCCGTGGGGACCCAGCGCATAGGCATCCGTGGTGAGCAAGGGTGGAGACCCCCACGTGGGCCTGCTGCGGCCCCCACTTCCTCTGGCCAGGCCGCAGACCGGGGTGACGTCTCCCCACAAGACCCTGCACCCGTGGGAGACCTGGGGCATTGCAGTTTTGCAGGGTAGACCAGGACCCTTGGTCAGTTTTAGTGAGAGGCAGGTGAGGAGGAAGGGATCTTGTACTCTAGGCTTTGACCTGAATTTACATTCTGCATTCTGCACAATCAAATAACAGATCTCAGCATTTAGGAGGAAAAAAAAATAAAGCAACGTTTTTAGGTGGGGAAAGCCACGCATTTATTCAGATCTCAAAGATCTGATGTGATTCTCCTTGCAGAATAGAGGACAAACTCCAGTCCGCTCTGCTCTGCCTCTGGGAGGCAAGGTGCCTCCCTCCATTAGGCTGGAGTTGAGAGGCTGAAAACTGGCCTACTTCCCCTTCTGTCACGATGGTGCGCGCCACTCTGCGGCTCCTGCTCACTCTCCTGTCCATCCCAGGCTTTGGCTCTCTGCCTTGCATCCTCAACGCCTGCTCTGGGGACATCAGGTCCACTTCCTGTATCGATCTGTCTGTCACGGACGTCGGGAGTGGCACTCAGCGCCCACGGCCCCGGGTCCTGCTGAAGGCACCCACACTGGCTGAGCTGGAGGAGATGAACACCTCTGAGGTCAGAGCCACGTAGAGCTGGAGGAGGCAGAGCAAGGGCGGGGCGAGAAGGGCTGGCAAGGCCAGGGGCGGAGCCAGCTGGGAGCCGGGCAGGTGGGACAGGCCCTCCCATCCCAGCAGACGGGGTACTCAGACAGCGGCCTGGGGCCAGCTCCTCTCGCAGGTGTGCACAAGAAGGCTGCACGTGGACGAGGTCGGTTATCCTGTGGCCGGGCAGCTGAGCAGCCCTTGGTTGGAGGGCAGGGTACTCACAGCGAGCCCCTTGGCCACCATGCTTGCTTTCTGAGTGCCACCTTCCCCTCCTCTTGGTGGTAGCTGTCTCTCAGCCTCCTCCTGTACAAGGTCTGTCCTGCCCTGGTCCTTCCTGTAGGCCTGAGGGACGGCTTGGGTATTGAGGCACTTGCCACAAAGTGTCCAGGCATGGGAGGGCAGAGTCGGACATGGTGGAACACACCCATAATCCAAGCACTTTGGAAGGCTGAGGCAGGAGAATTATAAATTCAAGTTTAGCCTGGAGACTTTAGGAACTTAGCAAGACCTTGTCTCAAAACTTAAAAATAAGAGTATTGCTGGGAGGGCTGGGGATTTAGCTCAGTGTTGCTGCCACCTGCCTAGCAAGCACAAGGTTCCGAGTTCGATCCCTGGTTCCAAAAGAAAAATAAAAAGTATGACTGGGGATGTACCTCAGTGGGAAGGGCCTGGGTTCAATCTCCAGTACCACCAAAAAAAGAGTGGGAGGACAGCCCAGGGCTCCGTGGACCCAGCAGTGCCTTGAGTCCAGCGCCTCAGTCCAGGGTAGCAGGAGGCAGGGGCAGTGTGGTCAGAGCAGGCTGTGTCTGACTTGTCTGCAGGAGGAAGAGTCTCCATGTGGGGAGGTGACACTGAAACGGGATCGCTCCTTCTCAGAGCACGACCTGGCCCAGCTCCGGAGCGAGGCAGCCTCTGCCCTGCAGCCAGCTGCTCCGCCCCAGGAAGGAACAGGACTGCCTCGGCCCCGGGCAGGCAGCATGCACACCTGGAGGCCCAGTGCCTGGGACCAGGGCAAGTGCGCCTTGTACCCTGCCACCGTCCTCTCATCCTACCATGGTGCTCTGTCCCCTGTGGGGTCACGGGTCCTGGCCAGCAGTAGCATCTGGGGGTAGGAGGGGTTGTGGGCAAGCAGGGTACACGGCCCCTCACCACCAAAGGTAGGTGCCACCCTTCCCGCTGGAGAACCTCTTCACTAAATAAGCAGCCATGTTCACTGTAAACTGTCCTCTCAGGAACTTATGCCCCTGCCCCCATAGCTTGGGGGTCACTGTTGTTGCCATCCTGGGAGGCAGACAGAAGTCAGTGCCAGGCACTGGCCAGGCCTCTCCTCTGTGTGGGCACTAGAGCCCCCTGTAGGCATGATGTCCAGGCTAGAACTCGACCCATCACCAGCAGCCATTCCATTGCCTCTTTCCCGCCAGGGAGCCAAGGACCAACGTCTGTGGCCATGCAGGGAGTCCCCCTGGACTGCATGTCAGGCTGGCACCTGCCCGCTGGGCATCTAGGCCTCTGTCTGCCCATAAGCCGCCCTGAGCAGCTCCCCTTCCAGTGCCATTGTTCACTCCAGGCCAACCCTAAATCTCACTGTTGCCCCAGGGCCCCCATGGGCAGCGTCCCAGAGACTTTGGTGGAGGCCACCTCTCCCCCTGCCCTGCGGCATCCCAAGGAGAAAGGCAGCCCTGTGGGGTTCACCTCAGGCCTCCAAATGGGTTCAAAGCCACAGGCACTAAACTGCACAGGTCCTGTCAGGGACATACACACTGTCCCCTCTTCCATGGGCACTGCCCTCTCAGCTTCTGCAGGCCTGCTCAGGCCTGTGCTCTTCCTCCAGGCTCCTGTCCTGCGGTTGTCCAGCCCCAGCCGGACCCCGGTGCCCCTGTGCTCAGCAGTCTGAGCTCTGCAGGCAGACCTGAGGGCTCTGTGCCAGACCCCAGGCACCTGTGGCTGGTGAGTGATGGTGGGAGCTTCACCCCTCCCTCGGGCCTAAAGCCTGAGAAGGACCTTGCACAACCCCTGGCTGAAGTCCCAGGGTAACCGGGGCAGCATGGGCACAAGGAGCATGTGGGCCGACACTTGGCTGGTCGAGACTCTGCCCCAGTGTGCTGGGTCCCCTTAGCTGCTAACCCCATCTGCCCTGTGACTGAGAGCTGACACCTGCCGCCTCCTTGAGGCTCCTTGGGGACTGGAGTCAGAGAGTATGGCTCTCACCAGGGAAGCGACTGGAGCACCCAGGAGCATGCGGGTGTCAACAGGGTGCTTTGCATCATCATCACTCTGAGGCTTCTGCAAGAGGCTCAAGGGAGGGCAGTGTTAGGGGCTCTGACGAGCATGAGGTCTGTGCACAGACAAGGGCGATACGTGCCCCTTTAGCTCTGGGGGCTACTTTAGTTCTCTGTGCCTGCATTAAAGCCACCTCACAAGATTCCCGAGTTAGGAGCCCTTCTGGGCTGCAGGGGGTCAGCAGGGGCTGCAGTCACCTGTGGACACAGGCGGGCACTCGGGGCTGCTGCCCCTTGTGGCCATGGGTGGAGGCCTCGGCCCTGTCATATTGCTCTGTGGGGGCTGCTCAAGTGACCCCTCAACTCGGCAGCTGGCGTCACCCAGAGCACAAGTGGAAGCCAAGTGGTATTTTGTGACCAAGTCTCAGATGGACACATGTCACTGCTCGTTATGAGTGTCACTGAGTCCAGCCCAGCTCAAGGGGAGGAATTTGGGGAGCAGCTACCAGTTGAGGAACTTGGGACAGGCTTTTTATTTATTTATTTTTGGTACCAGGGATCGAACTCAGGACCTCACATTTGCCAGGCAGGCACTGAGTGACTTTCAGGTTAGACGTCTCAGAAGTACCTTCTGAGAAGTTTGGCCACCAACACCAGTGGCCTTGTCCCGCCTGGGCACCTGCTCGCCCTGTTCCAGAGAGTAGTATGTTAAGGGTTTATATGTATTGCCTTAATGGAGCTCAAACAGAAGAGAAAAAAGGTTAGGGAGATCTAGCCTCAGGCTCTCTGCCGGGCCTGGGAGGTAAAACCAGGATCACTCAACATGAGGCTGGGCAGGACTGGGAGCTCTGGGTGTGAGGCATCCCACGTGGAGTCAGTCCCTGGGCTCCATGGTCAGATCTGCAGTGAGGTAGGAGAGCCCAGGGTTGAGGGCTTCTGAGGGGATTGAAGATTGGAGGTGGACTCTAGTCAGCTTTGATCGGTCATGGTGTGTATTGCAGGTGGGGACAGAGAAGGGGAGCTCAGGATGTGGCTAGCAGGGCTGGGTCAGGATGAGGGGCTGCAGGCGTGGGGAACCCTGTGGAGAGAATGGCAAGATGGTGCATGTGTTCCAGGGAGCTCCCAGGGTATCTGCCTGGACTGGGATCCCTAGGGGAAGGGGGGGCTTGCAGGGCAACCCTGCGTGACGGGCCCCTGCTCCCCAGGATTTCAGCCATCCGGTAGAGAGCCTGGCCCTGACTGTGGAGGAGGTGGTGGATGTGCGCCGTGTGCTGGTGAAAGCTGAGATGGAAAAATTCATCCAGGACCAGGAGCTCTTCAGCAGCCTGAAGCGGGGAAAGGTGAGGCACCCAGACAGGGTGGGGCTGGGGCTGCTGCAAGGGCCAGCTGCAATCACGGCTGTGAACACGTTGCACTCAGCAGTGCTTTCCTTCTAGGTCTGCTGCTGCTGCCGGGCCCGGTTCTCGCTGTTCTCCTGGCCACCCACTTGTCTCTTCTGCAAGAGGTGAGCCTCACGTGGGCACTGAGGCCACAAGTGAGCCGGGTTGGGAGCAGGGAGATGCGCCAGATGCCTGTGATTGTGGGCCTGTTATCACACACTATGGCGATGGGTGTTCAGTCTTTCAGTGCAGTTGGGGAATGGAACTTTTTTCTCAGTCCAGAGGTCTTTTATTTTATACCTGTTATGCTGTGAATTTAGAAGTTCTAGCACCAGGCTCCTTTTTTTTCTTTTGAGATAGGGTCTCACTCAGCAGTATGTTGCCCAGGCTGGCCTTGAACTTGTGATCTTCCTGCCTGAGCCTCCCAAGTAGCTGAGATTCAAGCATGTGCCACTGTACCCACCTAGCTTGAAGCCTCCTTGAAAAATGGTTTTCTCAGGGGCTTAGGATATAACCGAGTAGCAGAGCACTCGCCTAGCATGTATGAGGCCCTAGGTTTGACCCATAGCACCACAAATAACAACAATAAAACACACACACACACACACCACATAATGTCCTCACAGAGTAGTTCTCTGGGTGGAGCAGGCTGGGGCTTCAGTTGAGCACAGCACCTTTTTCTCTGGCTTCTTTTTTCTGATTTTTTTTTTCCTGGTACTGGGGATCAAACTCAGAACCTTGCACTTGCCAGGCAGGCAGGCGTGAGGCCACTGAGCCACATCCCAGGCTCTTCTTCTGATTGTTGTCCAGGAAGCCACCATGACTCCTGGGCTTGATGTGCTCAGCACACATACACATTCTCTTGGAGAATCTTGCCCTTAATCCATTTGCTGACAGCAGTGGTGACGATGCTGGGTGACATGATGACTCTTCCAGCTTTGCCAGGGTGACATGCAAGGCGTTCCTTCTTCCCGCTTCCTCGATTTCTCCAGTATCATCTTTCTTGGAGACCTGCATGTATGGGGCTGAAGGAAAAATTCCATGTTTTCTCAAAGGCCTACAGGATGTGTGTGTCAGGTGCCTCTCTGCTTCCCCTTTGTGGTAGCCATTCTGGAAAATTCCTGGAAGATGGTGGTGCCAGCCAAAGTAAATGCTGAGAACTTGAATTTTCAGTGTTAAATTAATTTAAATAGCTAAGGAACTCCAACTCTCAGCCAAGATGGAGTAACAGGAACCTGCAGCTGAAATAGCCAAAACCAAAAACCCAAAGGATATGAAACAGTGGTTTTCAAGACACTAGCCATCGCCAGCCCTAAGAAGCAGACTGGGAGCCCATGTCAGCCTGGAGAGTGTCCGGGACATGTGCACGACAGGCCAGGGCACTGGAGTTCTCTGGGAAAGTCCCAGGGGAGACTGAGGCACAGGGGAGCCTGCTGAGCACTCTGCAGCATGATGAGAGGAAATTAGGAAAAGACTCAGTGGTTAAAAAGCTACCACCCATAGACATATCTGGCTCACTGCCTGGTTTGTAAAATTTTATTGGAACACCCCCCCCCCAATTCATTTACTTGTTACTCTTTTAGCCACACCTAAAACGTTTACTCTCTGTCACTTACAAAATAGTTTTCTTACCCCATCAAAAAGACTTCAAGAAGTGCCAGGGGTTTAGCTCAGTGCCACTGCGGCTGGCTCACAAGTTTAAGGTCCTGAGTTCAAGCCTGGTACCAAAAAAAAAAAATCAAGACTTAAAGAAACAGTGCTTAGGGCTGGGGATTTAGCTCAGTGGTTCCGCCGCTTGCCTCGAAAGCACAAGGACCCAAGTTCAATCCCCGGTACCAAAAAAAAAAAAAAGAAAGAAAAGAAACAGTGCTTACACCTAGGAATAGTGTCTAGACATAGTCGGAAATGTCATAATTCACAGGGCACCAGTGGAACTCACAGGAAGGTCCTGCCTCCCTAGTGCAGGATCAACCTCAACCCCAAGTAGTCCCAAGCTGAGCATCAATCTAAGCAAGACTGACAGATCATCAAAGCTCGACCTGAAACATCAAGCTGTTCTCAGTCTGTATCTGTATTACAAGGAAAAATAAACCCACAAATAGTTACTTTAACATTTTTCTCAATAATTGATAAAACTGCTGGGCATGGTGGCACATGCCTGTAACCCCAGCACTTGGGAGCTGAGGCAGGAAGATTGCAGCAAGTTCAAGACCAGCCTGGTCTACGTAGTGAGTTCAAAGCCAACTTGAACTACATAGGAGACTCTGTCTTAAAACAAAACAAAACACCCAAAATAATATAAAATAAAAAGTAGTTTGAACAGTAACTCATTTTATTTGTAAAATATTATGCTTTTTTTTTTTGGTACCGTGGATCGAACTTGGGTCCTTGTGCTTGCGTAGCAGGTGGCGAAACCACTGAGCTAAATCCCCGGCCCACGTATTTTGTTAATTATGCTTAGACTAGTCTGGAGGCTGTATTGCCAACAGAGATCATTCCTGTAGTTGGGCTGTCTAAATTGTAACTAACGTTTGAAGTTTTACAGGAAGGCATTTCCTTTTTTTTTTTTGGTACTGGGGATCGAACTTGGGACCTTTGCACTTGCGAGGCAGGCATTGGAACCACTGAGCTAAATCTCCATTTTGAAACTGAGTGTAGGAATGATAAATGTTCATGCATGCTTAGAACTGAGCACTCCCTCAAGGTCCCTTGGCTTCTGTAGTGAGGTATCTGGCGACACCAAGCCAGGCATTCAGGGGGAAGCTGAGAGGCAGACAAGTATGTTGGATTGAAGCCAACACAAAAGAAAGATTCTGGAGTAGAACCAAGTCTTGAAGGAACAGGGTATGCCTGGCACAGGGGTGGGCAGAGGCCAGAGGCTGCCTCTTCCTCCTCTGCTCCACTGATGCTGCCTCCCTTCCCTTCCAGAGCCGTCTGCACTTCCTGTAGCGTAAAGGTGAGCTCTCCTGGGGCTTCAGTCTGTGCATTCTGACAGGTGTTCCCGTCTCCTGCTGCATGTATTGGACAACCCTGCCCTCACCAGGCCCCTCATCCATACCCTTTTCCAGAACCCTTTTTCTTTTTTGAGAGTCTCACTAGATAGTTCAGGCTGGCCTCAAACTCATGGCAATCTTCCTGTCTCAGCCTCCTGAGTGCTGGGATTACAGGAATGTGCCACCATGACTGGCTTAAAAATGTTTTTAGCTGACCCTTCTTTATAACCCACCCTGACTATGGAGAAACTGTCATCGGTGTCAGATGATTGTACGCAGGGCATGATGCCAAGCCCTTTATGGTATAAAAAGGCACCATTTCTGCCCCTAAAATTCCCACCTAGATGAGCAAAAAACACAGCTGAGATGTGAGGAAGGAGCACTGGTCATCAGGAGCGGTCTCTGGCAGCACTGTGTTATCATGCAGAGCCCCGCTCAAGGGGCAAGGGTTTGTACGAGGTCCACCCTGGGCCCAGCCCATACATCCTTCTGCATTGCAGATGAAGATGCCTTCTAAGAAGTGTGCACACATCCCCGTCTACACTCTGGGCTTTGAGAGTCCTCAGAGGACACCCATGGCCAAGGCCACGCCAACGCAGAGGAGAGAGGTCTTCCAGTGTGTTGCTCTGTCTTTTTGCAGGGGTCCAGGGTGTTCTGGGGAGGGGCTGGGTGGGGCCTGTTGCAAGGAAAGGCAGGGTGGGGCCCCTCTGGAAGGACCTGGAAAGGGCAGTGTGGCCTAGGACTCTGTTTCCCTGGGAGGTGCTCCACTAGTGAGTTCCTTCCCCAAATCCCGTGGGTGGAGGGATAGGGGAGGGGCAGCCATGGACAGCAGGGCATGGGGATGTTTGTGACTCGGGAGGGGCAGGGCAGGACCCGTGGGAGTCTCAGCCTTGATGTTCTGCCCCAGGTCTCTACAGGGGCCAAGGTGGCGAAGCGTGGAGGAGGAGTTCCCGCACATCTATGCACATGGTTGCATCCTTAAGGACGTCTGCAGTGACTGCACCAGCTTCGTGGCTGATGTCGTGCGCTCTAGCCGCAGGAGTGTGGACGCCCTTAATGCCACACCACACCGCAGCCGCCAGACCCAGTCACTCTACCTCCCTGACACCAAGACTCTGGACTTCAAGTGATGACAGCCCAAGGCAGCCAGCCCTGAACTGCGCATGTACATATATACATAGACGGACGCCTTTATATAATATATGCACACAGCTTATATATTTATACATGTTTTCTGGCCCCGCTGTTCATTTGGGGCCAGTTCCACTGCAGGACCCTCCCCGGGGAGGCTGTTCCCTCTCAGGACTCCTTGGGGTGGGGCCAGGGGATGTTTCTCCCTGAAGAGGGAGGGCAGGGGATTCCAGATCCTGAATCTCCAGCAGACTCCCCTGCCCAGGCCCCAGTTCTTTCCTGCACAGGTAGCCCCACAAGGCAGCTTCTCCTTCCTGGGTTGGAGTCCAGGTTAGGATGGGGAACCTGCCTGCCTCTGCCTTCTGATAAAGGCCTAAGATACCTGGAAGCCACTGGGTGGGTGGGACCCTCTAGGAAGTGTCCCAGGCACCCCATGTCTCAATGTGGAAAGCCAGAGGCCAAGCTTGGCCCTGCCCCTGCCCAGCACCCATCCCTGCCACTTTGCCCCTCCAGCCCCTCCCACACACTGGTGCTATCCTCCTCACCTGCTCCTGCCCAAGGGCCTGGGGATGCTGGATGGTCCTGGCATAGCTCTGTAACATTGTGCTGTGGCCATGGGAACCTAATAAAGATTATCTCACAGTGGCCATCTGGGGACATAGCTGTGTGGGAGGCTGAGGCAGGTGGATCACAAGTTTTCAGAGGCTGCATCTCCGCTCTGAGGGGCCACCTGCCTTCCAGGGCCAGAAAAGACCTCTCTAGTGCTGCTGTCAGGGTACCCCCATCACAGGACATGGCATCCAGGCCCCAGGAGGGTGGCAAGTTTGAGGCCTGTCTGGACAACTTACCAAGACCTTGTTTCAAAATAAAACTAAAAGAAGGGTTTGGGATGTAGCTCAGCAGTGGAGCACTTGCTTGGCCCAGAGGAGACCCTGAGTTCCAGCTCCAGCAACACACAGAAAAGCCCTGCCCAAGGGGCCAGGGATGTAGCTCAGTGGTTTTGCTGCCTGCTGCACAAGTGCAAGGACCCAAGTTCAATCCCCGGTACCAATAAAACCCCAAGAAATAAAAGCCCTGCCCAGCTTCTCTGCCAACTCTGTGGCCCTGGTCACGGTGGTAGGGGCTGCATGCAGAACAGCTCGGGACGCTGCCTGTCAACTCTGGCTGTGCTTCTGGCCAGGGTCCCTTTCTTATTTCTCAGCCCCCTAGTCCTGTTCTTCAGGGAGATGACCCCCGCTGGAGTTCCCAGAAGGCTGTAGGCTGTGGGTAGGCCCAGCACTAAGCACTCTGCTGGCTCGGGTACAAGGGGTGCTCTGTCATCACTCCCCTTAGCAGATGAGGAAACCAAGGCTCAGTACAGTGTGGGGATTTGGCAATTCATTCCAGGATGTCAACTCCAGACTGCACTGCCTGCCCCAGGGCTGGTGGAGGCCCAGAAGGGACAAGGCTTGTAACAAACAGCAGGGTTTGTGGGAAAGAATACTCTTAGCACCTCGAGTCCAGGACATGCAAATACACAACATTAGAGCAGCCAATAAAAGTATCCAGCTCCCACTACTTGTTGGAACAGACTGCCTATTCTTTTGGTTTTATTCCTGTTTAAAAATAAGAACCAGGGGTGGAAGTGGGCATCTAATCCTAGCACTCTGGGAAGCTGAGGTGGGAGAATCACAAGTTGATACCTGCCTGGGCAAACTTAGTGACTTAATGAGATCCTGTCTTAGAAAAAAAGGCTGGGAAGGGCCAGGGATTTAGCTCAGTGGTGCCATGCCTGCCTCGAAAGCACAAGGTCCTGAGTTCAATCCCCAGTACAAAAAAAAAAAAAAGCTAAGGAAGTAGCACAAGGCGAATGCCCTAGTTTCAATCCCACGGACTGCCCCAAAATAAGGGGGGGGGTTAAATCGGGAATTGCCTGTCACACCCTCAGTAATAAAAAAGCTTTCGTCTATGCACCAGTCTCATCGGCAGACACTCCTGGATGCCAAGTACCATTGCCACTATCTTCCTGATCCTACAGAGCAGAAACCAGCCCTGGGCAACACATCCAATTCGCACTGCCAACATAGGGAGAACCGGTCTGAACCCCTCAGAACCCTCAGAAATGAGAGCTTACAGCAGACAGTAAAAGCACATCGCGGAGGCCCAGAGATTTAGCTCAAGCTCTGTGGCACCATGCCTGCCTCGAAAGCACAGGGTGCTGAGTTTGATTTCCGGTACCAAAAAAAAAAAAAGCACCTCCTGAGGCAATGAGTGTCCCACACAGCTGCTTCTGGAGCCTGCTTAGCAGACAAGCTCCAAGGCCAAGTCAAGAACTGTTTTTTCTGTCTCCCTGGGCCTGACGTGTGCCAGCCTCACCTCCTTCCCCAGGCTCCATGCAGAAGCTGCAGCATTGGCCCACTGAAGCAGCCTCAGCCTCATGTGGACAAACACAGCTTTCCTTGTCGAGGACTTAGGCTCCAGTAGCCAGGGAGAGACTTGCATGGATTGCCGGTTCGAGTGCCTCTCATAGTCAGTGTGCACCACTGTTGGGGAGGGGAAGTTTTGAGGTAGAGGCCTTAAGGGCTCTTGATTCCGTTCACAAGCCAAAGAACAGGCCTGTGTAGACTGGGCACATGACTGACCAAGGGTGACACAGAAACCAACAACTAGCCTGCTTGTGATCAGGCCAGACACACGTGAGTGGTGCTGAGTGTGCCTGGGTTGGGGCCACTGTGGAGCACCTTATGATTCCACCCAGCCAGGCATACCATTCCCCAAAGAGCAATACGGACTCCATCCCAGCTTCACAGCAGAGGCCAGGCTCCTGGGGGAGGGAGGATGGAGTGGGGCTCAGAGACCTGAGCAGCCACCAGACTAGACAGGCCATGACCCAACCCTGCCCTGCCTCCCATATCGATCCTGGCCAGCGCCGGACCTTACCTGTCGTCTGGACTCACAGACCCAATGCAAACCCAGCTCCTCTGAGTCCCAGGAAGTGGCTTAGCCCCATAGTAGGCCACCCCACGCCCCAGGAATGCTCCTCCTCACACCTACACTAGTCCATCTTGGGCTTGCTTTTGCCCTTGCAGTTCTCAACTCTGGCTGCCCCTGGAACGCTTTTTCAAAACAGCAGAACTCCAACTCAGTGGGGTGTGTGCGCCTTTACGTCTTTATTGTAAAATTCTTCCTCGAAGGTTATGATGCACTGTAAGCGTAGCAAGCTTCTACCTCATGGGACCGATTCTCATACCTGTATGTACAGGAGAATCCAACTCCCAGGACATATTTTTGAGATTCTGAGAGTCAGTCCTATTTATCTTGGGGGAGGAGGGGTGCCCAGTAATCTGCAATTTGAAAGTTTACGGTTTAAAAGAGTTTCTGGTTTTTTGTTTTTGGTACGCGGGTTTGAACTCGGGACCTTGCTAAATCCCGGGCCCTCGTTTGGTTTCTTTAAGGTAGGGTTTCGCTAGGAAGCCCAGGGTGCCCTAATCCTCCCGCATCAGCCTTCCAAGTGCTGGGATTAGACGTGCTTCACCGTGGCCAGCTGGGTAAACTTATTTGTATTAAGGAGCGAACCATCCCTGCGCGCTCCGCTTCCTTCCCAGGCCCTAACCTGCAAGGACTCTGTGAACCGGGGTCTAGGGCATGGGTGCACGTGGCTCTGAGCCTGTCCGCCCGCCACCCCTGTCACAGCTCGCCATCTATGCACCCCACGCGCCCCAAATACCAGAAAAACACGTCATTGGAGCCAGCCGAGAAAGCTCAACTCTCGCGGGAGGCGCCCGGACTTTCTTTGACGCCACAGGTGACGGACAGGAAGTTCCGGAGAGCCTCAGCACGCAGACGCGACACGCCAGCCTCGCAGTCAGGGCGCAGGCGCGCCAGCAGCTAGACTTCTGCTCTTCCTTCTCCCTCAAGACTTCTGGCATCGGGTCCTATGTCGCGCCGGGCCCTCCGGAGGCTGAGGGGGGAACAGCGTGGACAGGAGCCCCTCGGGCCCGGAGCCCTGCAGTTTGTCCTCCGTGATGACGAAGACGCAGAAGAAGAAGGACCAAAGGGGGGCCCGGGGGTTCGGGTCCCCGGAGGCACAGGGAAAGAGGGCGTTCAAGTCAACAACCGGTTCGAGCTGGTGAGGAGCGGCGTGACCTGAGGGGGGAGGGTCGTGCCGGGCCGTGACGACCCGGGAGGCCAGGGTGGGCGTAAAGTTGTGCCTGGCCTGCGGAGGAGTGGGCGGGGTCGTGATGTCGGGGTTGAGGTGAGGGTGACGTGCCTGCGTGGCAGCGGGGGCGGAAGCATGACGCCTAGTGGCGGGGATTCAGTGGTGTGGGTGGGGCCATGCAGTCCAGAGGCGGGGCAAAGGCGCCAGCCGGGGAGCTGTCTGCAGGGCAGGTTCTGGGATTGCTCAGCTGCGGGGAGAGATGGACCTCTGTGCCGCCTACAGGCGGGGCTTTAGTGGTGTAGGTGGAGCTATGGCTTCCAGGGGCGGGGCTAAGGCTCGAGTCCAGGCTCTGACAACGTGCTGGGTTTTAGGACTCTTCTGCAGAGGGGAGAATGGGGACGCTGCCGGGGGCGCTGGGTGACGGCTTTGTTCTGCAGCGGGGAGGGCCAGGACCGAGGCAAGGCGGAGATGCGGGCCCGGGAGCTATCAACTGGCTGGATTGTGTGGGACTGCGCTGCAGGGAGAAGGGTGGAACCGTGACATCCGGGACGGAGCGTCAGTGGAGGTGTGGCTTTGGTGTTTGTTGAGGGGCTAGGCAAGGCAGCCGCCCCTGCTGAGGGGAGGGTGGAGCCGTCACTAGGGGCGGGGCTGCGGTGGGGAGGCGGGGCAAAGGGCTTTGCAGTCCTGCGGCTGCTTGAAGGGAGTGCACTGCAGTGAGGAGGGCAGGATGTCTAGAGGCAGGGTACAGAGGTTAAATTGGGCAAGGCTGCAGTGGAGTTGCGGGGCCCCGCACCTGTAGGACTCAGGGGTCTTTCCTTAATTCCTGGGTTGAGCATCTCCCAAGCCTAGCGCTTGGAGGAGCTCACAACACCACCGTCTACCCAGGACATCGTGGCTGGTTCATCACTCACACCAGGTGTCTGACAGGGAAATAACCCGTTAGATGGGGTCAGATCCCATGACACTTTCTGCTTAGCACTGGCCACCACCTGTAGGTTCACGTGTGGATTCTCTGTGTCGGGCTTCTCCGGGCTCCCTGTGTGGCAGGTAGTACGTCTGTTCTCACCTCGTATCCCCAGCCTGTGGTGCACACAGTGAGACTTAAACAGTCATCTGATGAATGAATGAACAAACACTTATGGGTGTGAAAATTGGGGAAACTAGCACCCTTTGTAAGCTGTCACTTGATCTTCCAGTTACCACAGCATTATGTAGAGTTAGCAAGTTAAGTGGTCTTTACTAACGACATTGGAGAATGCGGGAATTGTCCTAAGACAGTTTGGTGTCAAGATTATTGACCTTTCCACTTGAGGTGAGAGACAGATCTCACCCCTGAAGGTGAGACTGAAGTTCCTTCAAGTTCACCATGCCTCCAGCCATCTCTTCTGATGCTCAGCCTGAAAGCTAACTCCTACCTCCTACTCATTTCTTTCTTTTTAACTTTTTTATTATAGAAGTTTCAAAAAAACACACAAAATAGGGTAGTACAAGTAAACTTCGTGTACCTGTCACTGGGTTCCTACAATTATAGACACTTAGTGAGCTCATGTTTCTCTAATACTTTCACTCATTTCCTTTTCTTTCCACTAGGAATTGAACTCAGAGCCTTGTGCATGCTAAGTATGTACTGCTGCTGGGCTATATCCCCAGCTCCCTGCATTTGGATAGGGTATTACTATTACAAGCTCAGGCCTCATTCCTGGAACTATGTGGATTCATGTGTCAGCTCAATATCTGTCTCCTCTTAGGTATCTTCATGTGTCCAGACCCTAACTGAACTTACTGTCTCTACCCAGATCTGCTGCTGAAAGTCTTCCTTGTCTCCATTCTTCCTGTAGCCAAGGCCAGCCACCTGGAAGGCGCATCTCTAGTCTCTCAACACCTGAGTGTAGACTGAGGAGAAGTCCTGTGTGGTTTCTGGTGCATGGAGAGTGACTATGCTCTTGGGCTCTGCCCATGTGCATTCCTTTACATTCTATTCTGAACAGAACAGAAAGTCGCAGTCTTTCTTGCCGATAATTCTCAGTGGCCCAGACTTGCCCAATCTTCCCGTACAGCTCTCCCCTTCTTGTCTTTCTAAGCTTTTCCCCTCTGCCCCAGCTGTCCTGACTCCCCTGCCATCCCCCATCTGCAGTTCTCTTTGTCTGGGTGATGGGCATAGGGCCCCCTCGGCTCTACTCATCTTATTTTTGTTTGTTTTGAGATGAGGTCTTGCTAAGTAGTTAAGGCTGGCCTTGAACTCATATACTTACCTTATTAAAACTACACTCCCGTTGCCTTTATTCCAGTCTATTTCCTTTTTCCTGGCAATTACCACCAAACATTCTTAGAAATAACTTATTTTTATTTTGTATCAGTTGTCGTATAAGTTTCCTGAAAACAAGAGTTTGTTGTTCACTATTATACCCCAGGATGGTGTCCAGCATCCAGCAGGCCAGCTGAGTTACTCCCTGTCTGCTTCCTTTCATGAGACAAATGGTTGCCATCTGCTGTCAGAATGTATGTTGGCGGGCACTGTAGTCAGAGTGACCTAAACTTGAATCCTTGAATCTCTTTGTAGATATGAGAGCTTGGACAACATACTGAGTGTAAGCTTTGGGCAGGTTCTTGTTTACCTCATGGGTTGTCCTAAGGGTTAAATGAATTTGGGTGTGTAGCCTGTAGCCCAGGCCAACACTCAACAAATCTAGATATTATATGATGTTGAAAACTGAAGGGAATAAAAGAACATCCCAGAAGCATGGGACCCTGTGTAGTTTATTAGGAATATTTCTAGGGGCTGATGGTGCCCTCTTAGGGAGAAGGAAGCAAAGCACAAACTAGCCTGGCACCTCTGCTCACTACCCATAGCATTGATGTTCATACCATGGCTGGTGGTGAATTTTTTGGCTTTGAATCAGAAATCATCTTTACCACTTTTGTCAGAGAGGTTTTTAAAAATCAATTTATTGCTGGGCGTGGTGGCACATGCCTGTAATCCCAGCACTCAGGAAGCTGAGGCAGGAGGATGGCTTTGAGTTCAAGGCCAGCCTGAACTACATAATGAGACCTTGTCTCAAAAAAAAAAAAAATCAATTTATTATGGATGCACCTTGAGACCATACTCTTAAGTGAAGTAAATCGGACATACACATTTAAACACTGCTTTGTTTCTCTGGTGTGAGAAACTGAAAGTGGAAATAAGGACTAAATATATATAATAGATACTGGGAAATGGGAAGCAGATATTCAAATGGGAAGGGGAACAAGGGAGGAAAGAGGGAGAAGGGAAGGAAGGGACAAGAAAGAAAAGGAAAAATAGAAAAATTGGAAACAAAGCTTTTTCATATAGGGAGAGATGTGGCTCGAGGGGAAAGGAGAGGATGGGAAAAAATGAAGAGGCAGGATATATAATGTACAGCTGCAAATTCCTATGGTGCGTGTTATTATGTATATCTAAAACATACCAATAAATGTTTTGCTTAAAAAAATAAAAAATAAAAATCAATTTATTAGCCAGACATGGTAGCAAGTGCTTGTAATCCCAGCTACTTGGAAGGCTGAGGTAGTAGGATCTCATGTTTGAGGCCAGCCTTGGTAACTTACTTAGCAAGACCCTGTCTTAAAATTTTAAAAATAAATTAAAAAGGGCTAAGGATGTAGCTTAGTGGTAGAGCACTTACTGAGCATTGTATTAGGTTCAATCCCCAGTACCATTAAAAAAAAATCAACTTATTGACATAATATGTAATAAGATGCGCCCATTTTGAGGATATAGTCTGTGTTTTGACAAATGAGTACACTGGTATAAGTACCACCACCAGGCTCTAGAAGACCCTACTGTACGTGGGTCATGCCTGCTCTCAGATTCCATTATGAATGGGATCACCTGGAATGTGTTCTCTGTTGTTGGGCCTCCTGCTTGCTGTGTGCACACCCCTCCTTTTTTTGAGGTAGGATCTTGCTAAGTCACTAAGTTACCTGCCTAGGCTGGACTGGAACATGTGATCCTTTTGCCTCAGTGTGTCAGCGCTGGGGCTATGGGCCTGAGATACTACACCTGGCTCTCACTTGGTTTTAATTTACATCTCCAAGTGGCTGTGAGACTCATGTGCTTATTGGCTATTTATCTTTCTTGTGAAGTTTCTTTTTACATTTTCTTGTCCTTTTTATGGAGTTGTATTTTTATTGTTGTTTTATTAAAGTTCTATGTATTTTTGAGTAAGTCTTGTGTCAAATATACATATTATGAATATTTTTTCCCATAAATATGCCAAGTAAAAAGTAGAATGTTAAAAATACTGACTCAGATAATACCCCATAGAAGCACAATTTCCCCCCACAACCACAGAGTTGAGAAAACAGCTAAGGGGCCCCCTCAGACACTGGTTCCTTAGGGAACTCGCCTAACTTCAAGGGTTCCCTAAGACGACTATCCAGGTTCAGTAATTTGCTCAAAGGGTTCACAGAACTCCCTGAAAGCTCTCATACTCAGTCGTGGCTTCTCCCAAGGGAAGTTTGTAGATTGAAATCAGCCAAGGGAAGGGGGCACAGGCACGCCAGAGAAGCGGCAGAGCTGACGCTCCTGCTGTCCTGTCCCTGCAGACAGCTCTCCTGGTATTGTGTATTCACGGTTTTGATTGGGAATGACCACTTAAGTCAGTCTATTATGTCTTTTTTTTTTTTTTTTTTTTGGTACTGGGGCTCGAACTCGGGTCCTTGCGCTTGCGGGGCAGGCGGTGGAACCACTGAGCTAAATCCCCAGCCCTAAGTAAGTCTATTATTAAGAGAGTAAATGAACCGCCTGGCTTCTGTTTGTTCTTAAACTTTGAAATTTTCCTATGACAAGAGGTCCTGGAGCTCATCACACTCTTATATGTCCATCTTTGCCTTCACAGTTGCATCTGCGACATGACTCGCACATTTCTGTCCCTGGTGCAGCTCCATGCAGATTTCTCTCCTCTGTTTCTTCTTAATGATTTGACCTTTTTCATATGTTTTTAGTTAGTGTTTCTATTTATGCTGGTGGGAATTTGGAAAAAGTGTGGCTCATTGGACCAGGAGCCACTCAGTCAGGAGTCACACCTGTGCTCGTGGTAGATGGGCTGCCTGGCTAATGTGGTTGGCATTGACAACCTGAGTGGTCCCTGGTTTCTTACCATGATGGCTTCTCATGAATTTCTGAAGCTTTTAAATTTTGTTTTGTTTTTTAATAGTGCTGGGATCAAACCCAGGGCCTCACACGTGCTAAGTAAGCGCTCTACTGCTAAGCTGCACCCAGGCCCTCCAAAAAAATTTTATTCAGGGACACATCAGTCTTAATCTTAACTCAGGCATTCTATAATTTTTTTATAATTCGCATGTGGAAATAGCGCACACCTGTAATCCAAGCATGCGGGAGGCTGAGACAGGAGGATTGCCTCAAGTTCAAGGTCAGCCTGGGCTACATAGTGAGTTCAAGGCGGCCTGCACTTCAAAACAAGACCCTGTCTCAAAACATAAACAAAATAATAGTATGTTGGGTTTATAACAGAGGTCATGAGAGAGAAGAAAATGGAAATATACTGTCATCAGTTCTCATGTTTTATGTGACTGATAAAGTGGTTGAGTGTAGACTGTGTTAATAAAAGAAGCTTTTTAGCTTGATGTGGTAGCTCATCTAATCCCAGCACTTGAGAGGCCTCACAAGAGAATCATTGAATTTGAGGCCAGCCTGGGCTACATAGTGAGTTCCAGGGCAGCCTGACCATGTAGTGAGATCTTGTCTCAAAGCACCAAAAACAAACAAACAACAATAAAACCTTGTCAACCTTTGAGCAGTCACTGAAAGTATGAAATAGACATAGGGTTGGAGTGTAGCTCATTGGTAGAGTGCTTACCTAGCATGTGGGAGGCCTTGGGCTCAAAACCCATTATCACACAAAAAAGTATGTGGGAAGATTGCACAGATTATATGTAAACACTGGCATTTTATACCATGGATCTGGACATCTGCAGGCTTTGGTGATGTGCATTAGGCCCTGGAGCTGATCCCCTGCAGATGCTGAGGAGCAATTATTATTAGAAAAAATGGAACCAGGGATTTAGTTCATTGGCGCCATGCCTGCCTTGCAAGTGGAAGGTCCTGAGTTCGATCTCTGGTACCAAAAATAAAAGTCTAAGTAGGTGGGTCCTTCGTGCCTTTCCTTCCCCCAGACTTTTGTCCAGGTGCATCTAACCTGCGGCCCACAGCATAGTATGACATTATGTGACTGTTAGCAGTTCCATTGCAGCAGGGTGTGAGTGAGACCAGGGTAGGTAACAGTAGTGTGGGCATGCTGTGTGGAGGGCTCAGGGCAGGCGGTACTGACTCTGCCTCCTGTGATGGCTCTATGTGGTCGGAGCCAAACCCTTGTGTGTCAGTTGTTACACACATTTGTGCAGCTTGAGGAGTAAAAGGCAGACAATGACCGATAATAGTATTTCAGCCAACCTACACATGTGCCTGTGAAGATAGGCATTTACTGATACTAAGCAGGCATGTAAGTTTTAATTATTAAACTTTGGTTTGTGTTATTGCATAAAATAATTTAATAAATTAAAGAATAATGGAAGTTTTGTTTCTTGTTTACACTGTGTATGCTTTTGGGCGAGGGTACTAGGGATTGAACCCTGGGCCTCTCATCTACGTCCCCAGCCCTTTTTTTTCATTTTGCTGAATTGCCCAGGCTAGGCTAAAACTTGGCAATTTTCCTGCCCCAGCCTCCAAGCTGTCATGCCCAGCTATATTGTATATTTCTTTCTTTGTTTTTCTTTTTTTGGTACCAGGGATCGAACTCGGGACTGTGCACTTGCGAGGCAGGTGGGGAAACCATATTGTATATTTCATTTGCAGCCCAAGACAGTTCCTACTCACTCAGTGTGGCCTGGGCCAGCCAGAAGGTTGGACACCCATGCTCTTGCCCTAGTACGACTGTATGTGAAGTGAAGTTTAAGCAGGTAGTAGGAAGGAAGAATTTCAGCACTTGGCCACTGAGTATTTTAAATTTTTGCTTTGAGGATAGTTGGGAAGTAGGGATAAATTGCAATTTGGGGAGTTCTTCATGATGATATCTCTGAAGACAGAGATGCCATGTGGCTACAGAAGCCCTGGTTTCCTCTGGGGCTTCCCTCTGAGCCAGGATGTCTTCTGAAACTTAGAACTGTGTCACTTCGAGGGATAGACCCTGCATCCTTCTGCAGCTGGTCCTGGCCCATGCTGAGTCTCCGTCTGTATTCATCTCAGCATTGCTGTCTACATGGAAGCTGTGATGCACAACAGTGCCCTGTTCCCCTAACCTGTTTTCCAGATAAACATTGAGGACCTTGAGGACGACACTGTGGTAAACGGGGAGAGGTCTGACTGTGTGCGTGCACACTCTATGGCTTCGGGAAACAAAGCAAGGCCCCCACGTGGAGGCCCAGAGACCCAGCGAGATGGGGATGTGATCAAGGCAGTGTTCCCAGAGCAGGTGTGGAGGCCACTGGAAGTATAATTTTCTGTTTTCTTGGAGGTATTATTTTCTGTGTTAGGTTTTATTGATTGCCTGGTTGCCCAAAAGTTCCCTTGGGGGCCCTTGATTAGACTGGTGTCAAAATCCATAAGACAATGGTGGCCTTAGGGTGCCACAGTCAGGGTACCCGTCCTGCCTGGTATGTTTCAGAAGTATCTGTGTCCTCCAGAACCACTAGCTCCTGGGGTACAGAAGCTTCCGGGAGGAGCCTTTGTGCTGTCATGGCAGGTGCGGTCACAGAGGCAGGTACAGGGGTTAGCGGTAGGCAGCACCCTGCACAACGAGACCCCCAGTCTTCAGGGCAGCTGGAGCCTGGCAGGAAGTGGAGGGCAGAGCAAGATAGGAAGGGGTGGGGCTTGAACCCTGAGCTGCCTTATGGTTGGATGGAACCTGAAGCCACAGGAAGCCCAGAAGCACATGCAGAAGGGGAAGGTGTGGGCTGGGGATTTAGCTCAGTGGTTCCGCTGCCTGCCTTGCAAGCACAAGGTCCCAAGTTCGATCCCCGGTACCAAAAAAAAAAAGGGGAAGGTGTAAGAGGCCTCACTGCCAGCCACCAGTTGCTAGTCAGGGTATTCCTGCACCAGCAGGGGAGATGGGCACTGCTCAAATAAGGGGAGATGAGCTTGCTGCTTTAGTTCTCAGTTTCTAAGATTTTGCTTCTCATCATTGATGAAAATCTTTTCTTTTATTAGTCTAATGTAAGTGGCAAACTCCGAAAGAAGAAAAAGAAGCAAAGAAACAAGAAAAACAGCACAGGAGAGACCTCGGTATGTGATCAGCATCTTTGTGGCTGTGGTATTCCAGGTGGTGCTGGGAGAGGCTGGCTTCTGTCTGGTGTTTGGATCCCTTCCCATTGGGAATATAACCAACCTGAGTCAGGGGAAAGCAAAGGAAAGACTTCTTACCATTGTTGCCTCTGGTGTGCACCTTGCCCTTGGTGGATAGAGCCTGCCGTTGGCTCCTGGGTCCTGCGGGTCCCACAGTCCTAGGCCTCCGTGATCTGGGAGTTCCTCTTCCAGCCACACGTTGTCGCTTGTGTGAAGGCCACTCTGCATCCCGCCTTTGTCCTCTGTCTGTCCTGGGAAGAGCTGCAGCACTGCTTCTGCTCAGTGGAGTCTGGGCCCAGCCCCATCTCTTGAGGAAAACAGTGTCCCGGCTCTGGCATGGGATCCTCTGCCAGTGCTCTCCATGGCTGTCCCCTTGAGGTCCTCTCAGGAGACTGCTCTTTGCAAACCCGGGTGCAGCTCACAGCACTTGACTTACAGTCTTCTAGGAAGGAAATGTGATATGATATTACTTCCCAAAATAGTCATTTTGTTCCGGAAGTCAAGTCGGCATGATGATGAACAGGTGGTTCTGGGCTTGCAGGAGAATGGGCTGGAAGACATTGACCGAATCCTGGAGAGGATCGAGGATGGCAGTGGGCTCAGCCACCCTGGCCCCCCTCTGCCCAGCTCCAGGAAGCACGTCTTACATGTGGAGCACAGGTACGGCTCTGCCTACCCTCTGGAGGAGGAGAGGAAGAAAAGTTAGTGTCTTTATTTAAATCCCAGAACTATGGAGACTGAGGCAGGAGGGTCATACGAAGATTGAGGCCAGCCTGAATCACATAGTGAGACCCCATCTCAAAAAAAAAAAAAAAAAAAGTTACGAGTTCATTATTCAATATTTAGGAAGTAGAAATGAGGAAAAAAGAAAAGGAAAATTCACCTATTTCAGAGGACTTTTAGCTTTACTTTATATGTCTTAGAAAGTTTCTGTCTCTTTCTCTCTGTTTCTCTTTGAGGCACACAGATTGAGTCCGGAGAGGTCTAAGCTACATCCTCAGTGCCCCCCCCCCCCCTTTTTGGTACTGGGGATCAAACTCAGGACCTTGTGCTTGAGAGGGAGGTGGCGGAACCTCTGAGCCAAATCCCCGGCCCTCAGCCCCCCACTTTTTTTTGAAACAGAGTCTTGCTATGTAGTCCAGGCTGGCCTCGAAATTGTGGCAATCCTCCTGCCTCAATACTTTGATTACAGGCACTATAATTCAGCCTGTTTATTATTTATTTATTTATTTATTTTTTGCAATACTGGGGATCGAACTCAGGACCTCACATTCGCAAGGCAGGCATGGTACCACTGAGTTAAATCCCCGGCCCCTATTTTTTATTTTTGAGACAGTTGTCCTAAGTTGCCCAGACTGACCTTGAACTTGTAATTCCCCCGAGTCAGCCTCCCAAGTCACTGGGACAACAGGCATGCGGTACTGTATCTGGCTTGGAAATTTTCTTGAATTATGTAAAAGTACCTTGTCACACTTACATGATTATTAATTTCTTTGTCTGGTAGATGGTTAATGAAAACTAGTGCCTATACCAGAAATTGTTGCCTGCTTTAGACAAAAAAAAAAGAAAGAGAGAGAGAGTGAGAAAGAAAGAAAGAAAGAAAGAAAGAAAGAAAAAAGAAAGCGAGCCACCTGGAGTCTATTGAGATTCTGGTCTAGTCTCAGGGAGTTCATGGTGTCCTGACTCAGCCTCACAAACAGATGGTTTGAGCCTGGGCTACAGTAAGTTTAAGGCCAGCTTGAATTACAGAGCAAGACCCCATCTCACAACAAACAAAAAAAACACTGATGGTTTGCCACATGAGAGGACCCACTCCCAGCCGATCTCCTAGTGGAGGTGCTAGCTGTGTCCTTTCAGGGTGCTGAGGCCAGGGTGGTAGTGTGGGTTGCTGGTTTTAACGAAAGTAGGCCTGGAACTTGCCTTTCACGCCAAAACCCAAGCTTTCCTGCTGGATTCTTAGTGGCTGTCTAAAGTTTCCAAAGTCATTGTAGAACCAAATTTAAATTTTCTTCGTAAAATTTTCTGTTATATAGACACTTGAATCCAGACACAGAACTGAAGAGATATTTTGGTGCTCGAGCGGTCCTGGGGGAACAGAGGTAAGGTCAGGCCAAGCTGTGTTCTCAATGCTTCGTTCCTGTTGAGACTCTCTCTCTTTTTTTTAACCAAGAATCAAACTCAGGACCTTGGACTTTCCAGGCAGGAGCTGTGCCACTGAGCCACGTCTCCGGCCCTCTTGAGATTTGAAGGTCATTGGGAACCCCTGGGGCAGAATACCTAAACCGTAGTGGACAGATGCAACCCTTAGGACACTGTGTTTGGGTCGCTGAGAGGCCCAGGGTGGTTACGCTTCATCCTTCACACTGCCTTCTCCAGTGTGGCGTCATATTTTTAGAAAGGTCTTGCTGGGTGTAGTGGTGCACACCTGTAATCCCAGCACTCTGAAGGCTGAGACAGGAGGATTGCCACAAATTCAAGGCCAGCCTGAGCTACATAGTAAGTTCAAGACTACCTTGAACTGTATAGTGAACTACATACTGTCTTAATGAAGGGAAATAAAGTCTTAAAGCACATTAAATTTTGAGTTTCTAGTACTAAAATCTTAGCCCCATCCATTTTTACTTCCCAATCAGCAGCAAAACTAATACCAAGTTTAGGTTCTGTGTCACTTCATCGCCCCCCAGTGCCTGGCAGCAGGCCACAGTGATGGCCTGATGTACGGAGCCCTCAGGGAGGAAGAGCAGGCGTCCAGGTCCAAGCCTTTTGTAGGAGGTGTGGGTGGTCTAATCTCCAACTCTCCATCAAAATGTCCAGAAGGCTTTGTCTTTTTTTCTTTCTTTTTCTTTTTGGTTTTTTGAGGCAGGGTCTCCCTTCGTAGTTCAGGCTGGCCCTGAACTCACTGTGTAGCCCAGGCTGGCCTCGAACTGGCGGCGACCCTCCTTCCTCAGCCTCCTGAGTGCTAGGATCACAGGTGTGTGCCACCATGCCCAATTTGAGGCTTTGTCTTTTTAAGTACTTTTTAAAATTATAGGTCTAAATGCTTCTTATTTTAAAATTCAAGTAATTTAGAATTTCCTTCTTTGACCTCACTCCCATCTCCCCAAAGATAACTGTTAAAAACCTTGCTGCATCAAGTGTGGTGTGGTGACACATGCCTATAATCCTGATTATTTGTTGGGCTGAGGCAGGAGGATTGCAGATTTGAGCCTAGTCTGGGCAGTTTAGCCATGTCTATTTCAAAAATTTAGACAAGGACTCAGTACAAAGGCCCAGGGTTCAGTCCCCATCACAACAGAGAAGAAGCCTGTTGCATGGCGCAAGCCTTGCACACATCTTGTTCAGGTGGCCACAAGAGGCTTCTGCTGGTTGTCCCACATCCTGCTTTTGCACACCTGAGTCAAGCATTCAGCCCAGACATCAGGCTGTGTCAGATGTTGGTTGGAGCCCCCAGTATCTTTGCCCGGCATTTCAGAAACTGCCCAGAAATCCCCCTCAAGATGGAGGAACCAAGCCTGGATCCCTAGGTCCCTGTAAACACAGCTATGCCTGTGTCCTTTCCTCCCAGGCCACGGCAGAGACAGCGTGTGTACCCCAAGTGTACATGGCTGACGACCCCCAAGAGTACCTGGCCCCGGTACAGCAAACCAGGTGAGGTCTACAGGTACCTGGACCTCTTGGGCTGGCCTCACCCCTCTCTGCGAAGCTTGTGTGTAATGTGTGGCATTTTTAAGGGCTTAAGGAAAGAGACCCAGAGTCTCAGCACGGAGTCCCAGGCACCATTGCTGTTTCCCTTGCTGTTTGCATAGAGATTTTTCTCCCTTTCTACCGTCCATGTCTCCCTTTGGTACTGTACCACAGGAGCAGTGAGGTTTACTTAGAGCATGGTCATTTGGCTTCATTGCACCAGGGTAGGGTGGCATGGACTGTCATGTTAATGCTTGTTGGAGGGGAGAAGCATCTGTGACCCCTTTGTGTGGTTGGATGAGTGGCCTGGACTTCCACGGCCATGCAAGGACACACTGTAGGAAGAGGCAGGAGGGTACATGGAGGTGACTGTAGAGGCCATGCCCCACGTCTCCTGCTTCTGCATTTGTGGGGTTCTAGCAGACCCCACGCATGTGCAGAGAGGGTTCGTGCTGGCATCAGGGCCTTCCATTTAATGTGCCCATGCTAGCATCTCATGGGTGTCTGTTCCCACCAGGCCCTGTGTCCTCCTAGGAAAACCACCTGGGCACAGTGCAGATGGGCTTGTGGCCATGTGTTAATCAACTTTCCTGTTGCTGCCCCAAAATATCTGACTCCCACAAATTAAAGGAAGAGAATTTATTTTGGATCATGGTTTTAGAGGGTTCATTGCATGATTGGCTGGTGCCAGAGCAGGAACATCATGGTGGAGGGGTATGATGGAAGGAAAGTGTTCATCTCATTGTGGTGAAAGCAGAGAGTGGAAGAGAAGAGCCACAGAAAAAGAGGTAGAGGGGAGAGGGAGGAGAGAGAGAGATAGACTGACAGGCAGGCAGACTGATCCTCCTCTTCTGGTCAGGTCCCCTCCAAACAGCACAGTCAGCTGTGAACACAGCAGGGATTAATCTTCCAGTGAGCACGGTGGCCCCTGCTCTAGTCACCTTGCCAAAGCCCTGCCTCAGAACACAGGAGCCTAAACCATAGCACCACATGTTCCTGCAGGAGCTGAGGCCCTAGTAGGGCTGTCAGAGGGGCTAAGTGGGGGTTCCAGAACCACTGACAGCTTTTCAAGTTTTCCAGAAGAAACTGGACCTGTATACACAAAGTCAGAAAGATCAGAGAGAAGGGTCATGGGTCATAAGTCCATTGCCTCTGAGGCAAGGCCTGTGCTGTGCCCACCACACTGTTCCTACCCCACCCCTCATGGCCACTCTGCATGTTTACCCCAACCAGTGTGATCTGCGCACAGTGTTTCCGCATCCAGGCATTGGGACTAGGATCGGTTGGGAAGACAGCAGATGGGGGTAGCCAGCTCCTGGTGTTGCCCAGTGGTGGGAATTAGGCCCAGCTGTTCTGGCAGAGTGTCCAGCAGAGGTCAGTCAGCTGGTAGCCTAGAGACAGCCAGGCCGGCCCTGAATCACTTGTGTTAGTGCCACGGTCCACCAAGGACAGTCAGAATGTGTGTGATCCGAGCGCTTCGCCTGCAGTGCTGCTGCCACCCGGCCCCCAGCATGCCCTTTCTGGGCACTCTTACTTTTAGGTCTGTCCATGCGGCTTCTGGAATCGAAGAAAGGTCTCTCCTTCTTTGCCTTTGAGCATAGCGAGGATTACCAGCAGGCACAGCACAAGTTTCTGGTGGCCGTGGAGTCAATGGAGCCCAACAACATTGTGGTGGGTGATCCCTGCCCTTGGGCAGGAGGGGTGGAGCAGCCACCCTGTGCTAGGCCCTGTCCTGTACCAGGGAGGTATTCAAGCGGGGGAGCCAGCAGAGGGATGCCTGTTTGCAGGGCAGATCGACCCTGGCACCAGGACCGTGTGGAGTCCACTGCACGCTGCTCTCATGGCCCCTCAGGAGCTATGTGCAGTGGCCAGTCTTGGGCAGTGCTCAGATAGATACAGGGCAGCCTGGCTGTCTCCTGTGTCATCGACACCTGCATCCTCTCTACCCTGGGGTCCCAAGAGACCAGCTGGCCCCATCCTTTGAGGACCAAAAGGAGATCATTCTCCGTGCCCAAAGTCTAATCTGACCCCAGTGACCTTGGAGTCATGTTCCTGTGTTATTGAGATAAAAACCAAGGCCTTTGCTCTGAGCTGCCTCCCCAGGACCTTTTTTTTTTTCGGTACCAGGGATTGAACTTGGGACCTTGTGGTTGCAAGGCAGGCGGTGGAACCACTTAGCAAAATCCCTGGCCCATTCCAGGTCCTTTTTAATTTTTATTTTGAGACAGGGTCTTGCTAAGTCTTTTAAAGTTACTCAGGCTGGACTTGATCCTCCTGCCTGAGCCTCTAGTGTACTAGGATCCCAGGCCTATGCCTCTACACCCGGCTCTATCCCTGCTTCTTGAGGCATGGAGAGCCAAGAGCTGGGAAGGCAGAGTTCTGAGTTCCCATCCTGAACCAGACCAATGGTCTGGCTGAGCAGCAGTGGTACAGAGTCAGAGAGGGATTGTGACCTTTGTCTTGGGGACACTTTCTCCCTGGTGCTCAGGGCCATGTGCCCTGTGGGGTGTGTGGGACCTGCCTGTGACCTCAGGGCTGTCCTCCTTTCTGGCAGGTTCTGCTCCAGACAAGCCCCTACCATGTAGACTCGCTCCTGCAGCTCAGCGATGCCTGCCGCTTTCAGGATGACCAGGAGATGGCTCGAGACCTGACAGGTAAGATGGAGCCCCCACTGCAGCTCCTGGGCAGAGATGTGGTGAAGGGTGGGCTGAGCCTGCCAGGACAGTCTAGCAGAGTGGCTCTGAGGAGATGGAATTCCTGCACTGTGAGATGCAGCGATCTAACATGTGTAATTCATTGGTTTTCAGTGTGCCAGAGCCATGTAACCATGACCACAGTCCATCTTTTTTTTTTGTACCGAGGATTGAACTCAGGACCTCACACTTGCCAGGCAGACGCTGTGCCACTGAGCTCCGGTCTCACAGTCTGTGTTAAAGCATGAAAGAAGCCTGACCCATTGCCTGCCGTGCTCTAGCCCAGAACTACTCATCTCTCCTCTCTCTATGGATCTGCCCATTGTGGGCATTTCCTGTCAGTAGAGTCATGTACTACATGTAGCTAGTTGTGTCTGGCTTCTTCCACTTACCAGAAAGTTTTCATGATCCATGTTGTAGTGTGTATCAGACTTTCACCCCTGTTTGTGGGTGAATAATGTCCCACCTGTGGGTCAACCACATTTTTGTGTATCCATCATGAGACACTTGAGCTGTTTTTGGCTATTGTAAGCAGTGCTGCTATGAACATGCGGGTCAGGTGTTGTGTGTGACACACACATAGACCCTTGGTCACCAGGACACAGGATCAGTGGTTCAGCATGGTGTTTACAGGGTTTCCTTCTCAGGCACCACAGCCCTGTGGCTGCAGTGAACTAAGGGTGGCCTCGGGGTACCAGGCAGGTCCTGACCATGGCCCTCCATTTCAGGATCCTAGTTCTGTGACTTCCTTCTTTCCAGAACTTGCCTGGTTTTGAGTCATCAGAGGAGGGCGTTGTAGTCACTGCACAGTGGCCTAACACCCTCCTCTGTGTCTTGGTGGCCCACAGAGAGAGCACTGTACAGCATGGAGTGCGCCTTCCACCCTTTGTTCAGCCTCACCAGTGGGACTTGCCGGCTGGATTACCGCAGGCCTGAGAACAGGTGAGTGCAGCACCCTGGGGCAGCTTCTGGGGGTGTCCCAGGACAGTAGCACTCACCTGCCTTGTTCCTGGAAGCAGAATGACAGGAGGTAGCCACTGTTCACACAAGTTCCCACTGCAGGTCCTGTGGGGAGCAGGTGGCAGGACATGGTCCTCAGGGATAGACTACACCATGAGGCCCAGGACACTGGGCACCCAGCCCGTACAGAGCTGCAGTGCTGGACGGTGGGTGCAAGGCCATCAGCCCAAGCTCGGCTCAGGGTTCCTCTGTCCAAGTTAGGAGTAAGCCTGACAAGCCACTTCTCATGATGGTATGGGTCACAATCTTTCCGTGGCAGTTTGGATGAAAGAGTCTGTACCCAACCAGCTTTAAATGTCTCACCATGTTCTGCAGGCCTGGGGCCTGATTCCTGAGCCAGCATAAATTCAGCCTGGCCTGAGTGGTCACATGGGCACTGTGTCCCTCTTCCCCATACTGCTGCCCTGACTGCTCTGTTGCATTGGCTGCTATTCAGACATGGCCACCTGCCATGATCGTTGGATCCCTCGTGGGGACCTGTCTTCTGTTGATGTGTCTCCCTCTCTTGATCAGTGCCCTGCTTCTCTGGATGTCCCTGGGATGTGGTCACCGTGTGCCTGTGGCCACTGTCCAGCTGTGGAGCGCAGCTGCCCTGTGTGCTGGGTCTGGGCTTTCTTCATGGTTTCCTCTGTTGCTTTCGTCACTTTCAGTCAAACCCTTAGTTCTTTAAAACAAACTCTAAAAATAAGTCACTAGGATGAAAAAGTCATACAGCTTTGTTTATCCAACACGTTTATCCATTGACAACCATTAAAGTTAGAGAATAAATTAAGCTCATAATTGTAATAGGTTTTAGCGCTCTTCCCCTAAATGACAAACAGTAGACAAAAAGCAGGAAGCTGTGGTTTAGATAAGCTTGGTTCTCCATATATGAGTGCATTTAGAGCTCTGAGTATCAAGGGGCATGTGCTCCTTCTCCGCACACATAGGAACAATCACACCTCTCACTATCTGGCAGCACAGGCAAAGCCAACAGAAACCAGAGGGCAGGGACAGTGACAGGGCTCGTGGGTGACTGTGCTGCTGCTCTGCTGTGGCTCTGATTCACATGGGGCTCTGGTGGATCTAGGAGCTTCTACCTGGCCCTCTATAAGCAGATGAGCTTCCTGGAGAAACGAGGCTGCCCACGTACTGCGCTGGAGTACTGCAAGCTCATCCTCAGGTGAGTGTCTACCTAGCCACGCCTGCCTGTCCTTGAGCAGCAGCCGCTGGCCAGTGCACTTGGGCCATGACATCTCCCTCTGTTCCCCTTTGTGCCTTGCTCACCATGCTGCGTCCCAAAGCCTGGAGCCAGATGAGGACCCCCTCTGCATGCTGCTGCTTATTGACCACCTGGCCTTGAGGGCCCGGAACTACGAGTACTTGATCCACCTCTTCCAGGAGTGGGAGGTAGGTGTGAGCTGTGCTGTGCCCCTTGAGGACCTTTTGTGGTTCCATACCCAGTGTGTGAGCTGGTAAGGGCGCCCTCTGCACCTCTGCTGAGCAGTTCCAGTCTTCCTGGAGGCTAGTCCAGCTGCTGCATGTCCAAGTCCTGCACAGACGTGTATGAGGAAAGACGTGCTGGTAGTAGTGACAAGGGGGCGAGGGGCCACAGACCTTGGCACAGGACAGTGAGGTGCAACTGTGAGATAGACGGAGGGCATGTGGGAGACACAGGGACCCCGGCACACACCACCGTGCCCAGTGAGGGGCCTGCGTGACGGTGACTGTTCTGCAGAAGTGCTCAGTGGAGTGCTTGCCTCCCATGTGCAAGGCTGTGGATTCCATCCTCAGTACTACAAACAAAAGCTAAGCTGGACAGGCAGACATCCTTGTGTTCATAATCAGTTCCATATGTCTTGTCAGGTTCATATCAAGTGCACAAGAGGAGACAGCCTGGTGCCACACTGCCTTCCAGGATTCCTGACACCAGCCCAGGTGCACGAGTGCAGGGTGCACATCGCTTTCCAGACAGCAACAGAGAAGGGTGTGCACTGTCCAGTAGCCTTCCCTGGGCACATGTTGAAGAGACGTTAGGTGTATTGAGTAGATACAGTTTGCTAAGATTCCTTTCACTTTTCTCTCTGCAGCTGGTAGAAAGTGTAAGTGACACGAGGTGCCCAGCATGGCCCTGCAGCGTCCATGATGACTGCCTGTAGCAAGCCCTAGGAGAGGGCAGGAGAAGAGGGATAAGCCTTTACTTTCTCTGTTTTTGTGCTTGAATTTTTCACACCACACCTTTGATATATAATGGAAAATAGGTAAATTGTTTTAGGTTATATAACACGTTGCACAGTTGACCAAGGATTCTCATCTCCAGGCATCTAGTTTACAGAAACTTCGGAGCTCATGAAAACATAGCTGCAAGAAACCCCGGGAGTCCCCTGTCTCAACAAAACCAACAAAAACAAAATCAAAACCCGGAGACACTCCTGGGAGGGCCGTGGACCAGGTGGTCTGTGCATCTCAAAGCACCCAGCCGTTTCCAAACCTAACACATGCTTTCGAGACCCCGAACTTGGTTTCTTCTTCCCTTGCAGGCGCATCGGAACCTGTCCCAGCTCCCAAATTTTGCCTTCTCAGTGTCGTTAGCATATTTCTTGCTGAGTCAGCAGATAGACCTCCCCCAGCAGGAGCTGAACTCCACAAGGGAAAAGGCCTCCACCCTCATCCAGCAGGCGCTCATCATGTTCCCTGGAGGTGGGTGCAGCTCTCGCCCAGGTGGTGACTCCCAGGGGCTCCTTCACTTAGAGAAAGCAGCACTTTCTAACCAGCCTGCAGACCTGCTGTGGTTACAGCTAGAGAGCTGGCCTCACCTCTGCGAGCCTTGTGCATGCCCAGCCAGGTGTGGGGGTGGAGTGGGCACGCAGCATCCCGAGCCTCCGTCCACACTGGGGCACAGGCGGAGAGTAGGCCCGTCCCGTGGGGGAGTGGGGGGAGTGTGCGTCCACACCAGTGCTTGCACACCAGGTGCCTGCCCTTCCATAGAAAGGCCTGGGACCAGCACCATCCTGCTGACCAGGCCCAGGGAGGCTCACCGACAGGGTTGGAGCCGGTCCCGGGCCAGGCTGAGCCGTGCCCCTATAGGGCCTCCTCGTGCTCCCAGGGCGAGATGCCGCAGGGGTGGCCTCAGCCCGGGGTCACCTGTGTTGGGCCCGGGCTGCACTGCAGAGCCGGGCGCCCCGCAGGTGGGAAGATTGGGAGAGCTGGCCCCAGCACCCCCACTGCAGATCCCCAGCGCGTGGCCTGTCCAGGGGGCTGGGGCTGTGGCCATGGCTGATCCAGCCAGGTTGCTGCCCTGACCTGAGCCCAGGCTCGGCAGCAGTGCCTCGCCCAGCACAGGCGGCCCCCACGCCCACCAGTATATTGTGGCTCCAGTCTCCAGGTCCCTAGAGCATCCAGCACAGGCACTGGGGTGATGACACTTCACCTCAGAGGCAGATGAGACCCCCTCCAGTCTCAGAGGCACTCGGCCTGCTGTGACAAGGCCCAGCTGAAGAACTGGCCCTCGGCGCCAGTGTGCAGAGGCAGGCCCAGCCGTGACTTCACAGCACCGAGCTCCTTCCTGTTGTCCGCCGGGGCTGGGTGGTGGTGTGGCCCAGTCACCAGGCACATGGTGACTCTGCTTCTTCGGCAGTTCTCATGCCCTTGCTGGAGTCCTGCAGTGTGCGGCCCGACGCTGCTGTCTCAGGTCACCACTTCTTTGGCCCCGAGGCTGAGATAAGGTAAAGGGTGGAAGACACCCACATGTCTTCTCATGCTCCCTTGTCCGCGGAGGCAGTGAGGGGCCCATCTGGGGATGGAGGGCCACCGTGTTCCTAGGACTGCAGGTGATCATGGGGCCATTGCTCCCGCCCCACCCCCATGATGGTGACGTGGAGGAAGAAAGCCCCTCGTCACTGAGGGGCTCCCTCAAGTCCAAGAGAAAGCCCTGGTGGAGCAAGCGAGTGCCTACCCTAAAGAATGAGGTCTGCGGAGATGCCATCTGATCAGCCTGGGGAGCGTCCCATGTGGGTGCTGCCTAGTGGGAGCTCATGACCTTCACATTTATTTAAAAAATTAAGAGGAAGCTGAGTGCAGTAGTGCTTGGCTGTCATTCTAGCACTTTGGGAAGCTGAGGCAGAGGATTACAAGTTTGAGCCTAGGCCAGGGATTTAGCTCAGTGGTTCCGCTGCCTGCCTCGCAAGTGCAAGGTCCCAAGTTTGATCCCCAGTACCAAAAACAAAACAAACTAAGTTTGAGCCTAGCCTGGGCAACTTAGCTACTTAAGTAGTAAGACTGTCTCAGAAATAAAAAGGGATGGGGATGTAGTGCAAAGACCCTAGATTCAATCCTAGTACCACAAAGACCAAAAAGCACAGAGTCACAGGAGCAGACCTGTGTGTCCACTCTGCTGGAGGTGGTCTGTCCTCTGGTCAGTAACCGGGAGGTGCCCTGCCCTGGACATGGCCTTGCCTACCAGTCCCACTCTCTCCCAGCCAGCCACCTGCCCTGAGCCAGCTGGTGAGCCTGTACCTTGGGAGGTCTCACTTTCTCTGGAAAGAACCTGCCACCATGAGCTGGCTGGAGGAGAATGTCCGAGAAGTTTTGCGAGCTGTGGACGCAGGGGACCCCACCGTGCAGGCCTGTGAGGGCAGGTGAGCTGGTCTGGGCAGCAGTGGTGTGGCCGGACAGGCGTGCAGGGGACAGGGCATCTTCTGCCCTCCTGGGAACCCTCAGTCGGAGCCAGCAGTGTGATTCCTAGAGGCCTCCTCGGGGTTGGCAACTTGCCATCCACACAGATTACAAATGTGGGACTTCAGCCTCCTCCTGGCGTGTGCTTTGTTTCCACATTCACCGTGGCAATTGCCAGTCTGGCACCCTCTGGCAAGACAGCAGGGACTCAGAGGTGACCACCATCTGCTGGCTTCTCCTTTTTCACCTGTGGGGGGTGCCTCACCCCATAACTGACTGCACTGGAGAACTAGCCCCTTGCCTGCTAATGACCTCTAGGTGGGCAGTGGCCCCCATCAGCACTGTGGCTCTGGGGACTAGGACCCCTGTGCGGGAGCCTGAGTCCTGGGTCGTCTGCAGAGATGGGAAGGTGCAGTGCTTCTAGTGCTTGCTGCTGGGTGGACGCTATCCCCGGCCTGCTGTCCCCGCTGGACTGGATGGTGCTCATGGGAAGGAACGTGATTTGTTCCCTGTGCTGCATTGGTGGATTGACGTCGATGGGAAGCAGGCCCTGTGCAGCAGCAGGAGTGATGGACACACCTGGGCCCCCTGGGCAGATAAAACTGCATCAGCCACAGCTGTTGTCCCATTTCCTGGAGGAGGAGGAGGTTGAGTTGCAGTCACGCAGCTGGTGCCTTTGTCCAGAGCCTTCTCTTGCTGCAAGGCCAGGGACCCATCACGAAGTCTCTGCATGGGGTGGGTGTGGGGGCAGAGTCCTGGGCTCTTTCCAGGTCACAGGCAGAGGGGCCTTGGTGTCTGGCGTGGGGCTGGGGGTGCCAGCTCACTTGTTGCTCTGTGTTCACGCCGGCCAGGCGGAAGGTGCTGTACCAGCGTGCACCCAGGAACATCCACCGTCACGTGATCCTCTCGGAGATCAAGGAGGCTGTGGCCGTGCTGCCTCCGGTAAGGGCGGGCTGAGAGCGGCTGTGGACAGGCGTTGGGGGTTTCTTGGTGGATCTAGAGGCCACTCATGGGCTTGGAGCACAGCCCTGTCAGCTGGACCCATGTCCCAGTGCTGTGGCCATGGGCTTTGGCTGCTGTGGTCTGGAAGCCCAGGGTAGGAATGCAGATCAAAGTGGCCATGATGCCCAGGTCTCTGGAGGGCCTGAGCACCTTCGGGTCCTACCTTGTGGGCTCTGCTGGCCCATAGGTCAGGCACCGCCAGCCCAAGCTGCTCCGGTCAGTGAAAGAACAGCCTCAGCACTGCTGAGGGCTGGGACGGGGCACCCAGGGATTGGGTCCCTAGCAGGTGGCCATGGGCTCGTTTCTCCCCATGCAGGAGTACTACTAAGCTGAGTGGGAGGTCAAGTCTGTGGTGACCTGAGGCTCCTCCACTGCAGCTTCTGTCTAAGACACGGCCGTCTCTGTCAGATTCCAGCCATCCCCAGACCCATCAGTCCAGGGGGATCCAAGGCTGCCGGGGAAGGCATAGGCTCCCAGCCACACTCTAGCCTCTGCTTGTGTCCCTTTTCCAAGGAGGTGACCACGCAGTCTGTGATGGGGTTTGACCCTCTGCCTCCCCTGGACACCATCTACTCCTACGTCCGACCCGAGAGGTACCTGCCCCCACTTTGCCCCACACTTGTGCAGACCTGAGGGCAAGGGATCTGCCCCGGCCCAGAGTCTGCCCCGGCCCAGTGGGAGGTGTGGGGGTGTTTGGGGACACAGCACTACCCTGCCCATGCCTGAATCACCACTGCTCTGCTGGGCTCTGTAGGTGGTGCTAAAAACAGAGTGGGAAGCAAAGTAAGAAAACGCCTCTCAGCCGAGTGTGGAGGCACACACCTGTGATCTCAGCACTTGGGAGGCTGAGGCAGAAGGATCACCGCAAGTTTGAGGCCAGCCTAGAGTATACAGCAAGACCCTGTCTCAAAACAAAACAAAAAATACTCCACTGCCCTCGTGGAGTGCTCTGTGAAGTGGGGAAAGATGTTAATTGTACAACCTAGAAAATTAGCATAGAATCAAAACTGCACTGCCAGGCCTGGTGGTGTATGGCTGTCATCCCAGCACCCTGTGAGGCTGCAGCAGGAGGATTCCAAGTTTGAACTCAGCTTGAGCAAGTTAGCAAGACCTTGTCTCAAGATTAAAAATTTTAGGAAGGAGTGGTGCATGCCTGCCTGGCAAGCATAAGGTCCTGAGTTGCTCCCCAGTACTGCAAAAAAAAATTTTTTTTAGGGCTGGGGATGTAGCTGAGTGCAAAGGCCCTGGGTTCAGTCCCTAATACCACAAAACAGCAAAAGAAAATCTGCAGTAAGAGTCTGCTGGGTAAAGGTGCATGGTGGGGAAAGAAAGAAACTTCTGACAGGCGAGGGCTGAGCACAGTGTAAGGCCTGCTGGGAGACTGGCCAGGGGAGTGGGGCAGCAGGATGAAGGGAAGGGACCCATCAGAGCGCAGGTCCGGGGCTGCCCTTGTACATAGGGGCAGCTTTGGAATCTGGGTCACAGAAACCTCTTCTGCCTGCCTCTGGCCTTCAAAGCTGAGTAGCTACCAGGCCTCACCCACAGTAGGTCTTGATCCAGGCAGAGTCTTCCCTCTGAATTGTTATAGAGCTTGGACTTCATGTTCATATGAAAACCATTCTGTGTTGAATTCTTCAGTAGATTAAAATGAAAATTGTTAGTGTCAGTGGGGCTCAGAAAGACATTCATGGCCATGAGACACCTTGCTCTGGCTCTGCCCCAGAGGCAAAGCTGGGCTATAGGGCATGCGTCGCCAGCAGAGGCCTCCATGTAACCCCCAGATCTGCTGCCCTCCTGATGTAGCTGCTCCTTCTGGGGTTTTTTTGTTTTGTTTTTTGGGGTTTGGTTTGGTTTTTTGAGACAGGGTCTCACTATGTAGTTCAGGCTGGCCTTGAACTTGTGGTGGTCCTCCTGCCTCAGCCTCCTGGGTCCTGAGATTACAGGCATGTGCCACCATGCCCAGCTCTCTCCAGTTCTTAAGGGAGAAGGAAGTACGGAAACTACCTGTTCTCAAAGCTGGGCACCTAGGCTGTGGCCACAGCAGGTTGGCTGAGGTCACCTCTGCTTTCTCTCTTTGTGGCTCTATAACACTCTTCCTTCCCTTGCTGGGTGCCCTCGGGATGCCCACAGCCCCACCCCATACTGATCATTTCCACCCTGGGCCCTGATCCACACCAGTGATCCCCAAGGCCTCAGTGGCTGCCTGGGGCTGCTTCCAGTCCCTGCAGGTGGGAGGAATGACAAGGGCCCTGTGAGCCGGCCAGAACTCCACGGCATCCCGTCAGGTTCATTTTCTGGCTCTCTTGACTTCACCTTAGGCTAAGTCCTGTCAGCCATGGAAACACGATCGCCCTCTTCTTCCGGTCACTATTGCCAAACTACACCATGGAGGTATGTCAGGCACATCCTTGCCAGAGACAGCACAACCGTGTAGCAGGAAGTGGGGCCTCTGGGGCTGGCTGGTCCAGAGTCCTCTCCCTCCCTGCTGGGGCCCAGCCCAGCTCAGCTCAGACCTGTCTCCCTACCACAGGGAGAGAGGCTGGAGGAAGGAGTGGCTGGAGGTCTGAACCGAAACCAAGGCTTGAACCGGCTGATGCTGGCTGTGCGTGACCTGATGGCCAACTTCCACTTTAACGACATGGAGGTGCCACACGAGGAAAACCCTGAGGGGGAGGCTGACTGGGACTGACACCGCAATGATGTTACTGATTTTTTGGTCTGGTTGGGCTTGCACAGCTCCCTGAAGTAGAGATGCTGAATGTACGGTTGCCCCATGTCTTCTGTTTCCCTATAAATGTCAGTGGTTATTCCCTCCTGTGGGTGAGCTCTTCTTCCAGCTGCGGGTTCCTCATCAGTGTCCGTCTCTGCTGGAGCAAGCCCCATGGGCAACATGGGCCACACTGTGTCACCCCTACTCCCAGAACCAGATGGGCAGCACAGCAGGGTTGCCACTGGGTCCCCAGTGTGGGTCCCTGCTGAATCTCAAGGCCCTGTGAGCTGCTGCTGGAGGGTGTAGGGGCTCAAGCGTGGAGCAGAGGTGCTTCCCGAGCAATGGTGATGTGATGTCTGGAGCCGCAGCTGCCATGTGTAACCAGGAGACAATGAACTCTACAGTGAAGAGCCAGTGTTCTAGGGACAGTGATCCAGGGATGCACCCAGGCCCTGGGGACACTGCTTGTTCCCAGGCCTGTCCCTGATGGGGTGTGAAGTCAGCAGTGCTCGATCAGGACTGCTTCGGTTGAAGCAGTTTTGTGCAAACATTGATGAATGAAGACAGCCAGGTTACCTTCCTCTAATCCTAGCCACAGTAAGGCTTGGTCTGCCAGGCCCAGGGCTGCAGTGAGTCCTGGCTCCTCCTGGCACTGTCAGCCTCAACAGAGGCTCCATGCTGCTCCATTGCACCGTTTCCCACCGAGCCAGGAGCGTGGGGATTTGGAGACCTGACTGGCACCCACAGACAGGGAGCTCCAACCAAGGCTTCATGCCCCAGCCTCCTGAGGTACCTCGACCTGCACAGCGTAGGGTCCAAAGCCGGGATGAAGAAAGATGACTATGACCGAGGTTACTCTTAGCTGGGACCAGGCGGAACCATAGCTTGTCGGGAGCTAATGGCCGCCTGGAGCACCACGTGTTCTTTATTTATAGTGGAAGGCAAACAGGAAGAGAAGGCGGGGCAAATAGTGCTACGTGCCCTCTGTGGCCTAGGTGGAACATAGTGGGCATGGGGAGGAAGGGAATGGCAGGATACGGGTAACTCTCCCAGGGTTGTGCCCTCAGGGGTCTACAATATGAGTGAAAGGAAGCAGGGAAGAGACGAAGGGCCATCCTCTGGCTCGGCCCACGGCACTGAGGAGAGGAGCTTGGGCTTGTGGCTGTTTGAGGTCACTGGGGCCTTCATAAGGGAAGCAGAGCCAGGGGCCAGCCAGGCCCTGCTCCTCAGGCAGGGACTCACCCTGGTACAAGTGCACCCATCCCTGCCACAAGCCAGGGTGCAGTCACTCACCAGGATAACTCCCTTACAGCACTGTGTTGTGTGTGCCACGGGCCAAGGAAGGGGCATGTGCCGTGTGCCCTTCGTCTCCAGTAGGAGATAAACTGAGCTCCCCTCAGCCCCAGGGCATCCGGTTCATATGATCACATAATCCCAGGCCTGATTTGTTACCTCCCTGTTTCCTCAGGACCAAATCAGAACAGACTTTTCACAGGAACCGCCCACAGGTGCACCCAGTGTGACCCACACGGGGGTCTCAGGCAGGGGCGCCCCCTTTCCGGTGTGAGAGCTGGGTTGCAGGAGGAAGGATGTGTGGTTACCCTGCCAGAGGCCTCGGTGCTCGTGCCTTTTGAAGTCCAGCTAGGGAGGGGCCGGTTGACCACAGCCATCTCAAAGGCCTCTTTGATGGAGCTGGCACTGATCCCTGCAGTGGCCCTGCCTCCTTGTCACGCCTGCCCTTCGGTCCCCTGGGGAGCTCCTCTAGAGCACCGTGAGGGTAACCCTTTGGGACCAGACTAGGGAGGAGGGTGTGCAGCACCAGCCTCCACACTGGCCCCTGTCTTCCTCAGTGAGTTGCAAGAGGGCACGGAAGGGCTGCTCCACTCATGGAAGGGGGTTTGACCACATCTGCTAAGCTGGAGAGAACCTTTGTGCCATACAGTTCCACAGCCAACTGTCACCCAGCAGCTTATGTGACCAGAGGGGGGTGCCAGCCCATCCAGCAGGAGTGGCCTGAAGCCAGGCAGAGCCCTGCATCCTCTGTCCATGCCATGAACACTGAGCACCACAGGGTGGGGGGTGGCCTTTAATCAACTGCAGCAGTGGCAATGAGCTCAGTGTGAGCAGTGTGCAGCTAGAATGTTCCACTCAGGTGACATCCATGGGAGGCAAGCTGAGTGGGGCCTCAGAGGCCAGGCTGCTGCTCTTGGGCAGGCTTGGTAGCTGTGCTCTGGGCTGTGTTGGGCAGGGGAACTGTCCTGCAATCTGTCATCTGGGAAAGCTTTGCAAGTCTCAGTGCAGAAGCAAGGAGCAATCGATATTTCTCAGTGGCTGCTGCACGTGCTCTTGGGTGGTCGTGGTGTGAATGGTCAGGGTATCGCAGAAACTGGCTGGCACTTGAGTCGGGGAGAGCGAGAACTTGTTTTTTGTTTCTTTGGGGGAGAAGGGTGGTACTGGGATTGAACCCAGAGCCTTCACCCTGAGCTACAGCCTCAGCCCTGTTTTTATTTTTTATTTTGGGACAGGGTCTGTAAATCACTAAGTTGCCCCATCTATGCTAGAACTTGCAGTACTCTTGCCTCAGCCTCCCAGAGTGCTGGGATTAAAGGTATGTAGCACATGGTGGCTCAGAATGGATTTTAACATCAATAGCACAGGCACAAACACTTTGAAAACACTGACGACTCCTTCAAGCCTGGCTTACTGTCGTCCTCTGCTTTGATGTACCCACCTGTGAGTAGGAAGCACCACCCCCTCCATCGGGAGGACACTTGCTGTCCCAGACACAGCTCCTGTGAGAAAGTGCTCGTGTTGCTTCTCCCAACTGCTGACCACTGACCGCGGAGATGGCGGCGAGAGCTCTGCCTGCTGAGTTCCTGGCTTCAGGGCCTGGGTGTTCTCCCTCCACAGGAAATGGGGCACCGCTGGGGAGGGGCAGGCAGCTGCATCCCAGTGCCCCGTGATAAGCAAGAGCATGATGGGACTGAAGGGTCCTGCGGGACGTTACTGGGATGCCCTCTGGCCATCGGCTCCCAGGAAGTGGCGGCACCCTGGCCAGCACAAAGGAAGGGGTTGCTGCTTGCCTGGCAGGGCTGGGGCGCAGAGGCTCTGTAGGGCTGCACCAGGGCAGCCGCTCCAGAGCCCGCCCATCCCTGCTGAGAGGTGGTGGAGCCTGTCAACTTCGGCCCTGGCTGGGTCTCCTGCAGTGTCCACTGTGAGATTTCAATTATTATTATCATTTTTTTTTTTTTTGGTACCGGGGATCAAATTCAGGGACCTTGTGCTTCGGAGGCGGTGCTGGAACCACTGAGCTAAATCCCCGGCCCTTCAATTATGTTTAGAATTTCTTCCTGGCCCAGCCTCCAAGTCTACCTTCAAGTTCAGCAGCTCTGTTGCCATGGTACACGTTGCCCAGGCTGGAAGTGAACAGTGCTGCCTACTAACCTTGAGCCTAAAGGAAGGAACAGTGGGATGGTGCTGGGGCCTGGGCAGGCCAATCAGAGCAGTGTGGGGAGGGAGGAGTGAGGAGCCAGGGCAGGTGCTGTGGAGGTCCGGTCAGTCTGCAGAGGCTTTGAATGTGAAGAGGAGGTGCAGGAGCAGCTGTGGGCCCAGGGGCCTGTGGGCCACACCGAGTGCCGCCCATGCCCCCTGCAGCAGGCAGGAGTGCTTGGGAGCATGAGCAGCACCCCCATACACACGTCCCACCCACGCCCATCATGTGGTCGCCTGCAGTAGGCGAGGCCTCGGGATGACTTTAAAGATGCAGAGAAAGGCTCCATTCTTCCCAGACCCTCAGCCCAGCCCTGGCCCAGCAAGGCAGGGACGGAGTCACTCAGAAATGTGTCTGGTCCTGAGGGGCCTCCTGGGAAGAGGTGGGGAGGGTGGCCAAGAACCAAGTTCATGCCCTTTGGGCGTGAGGTTGTGAATGAGAATCTGTGACCAGAGGGCCTCTGCAGAGCTCAGGGGCCTGGCCAGGGAGTGTCAGACCTGTCTGGGCCATGCCTGGGCCAACCTTTGTCCTGCCATGCAGAGGGTGAGTGACAGCCACTCTGGAGCCCCCAGATGGATGGAGGCAGGTGTGCAAGACACCATGAGCTGAGTGGGATGCCTGGAGTGATGCTAGCTGGAATTTAGGACTCTGCTTGCCCCTTCCTGTGCTGGGACAGGACTATGCCCATACAAGAGCCCCTGAGGAGGATGCTGGGCTCCCTCAATGCTACCCCCTCAGCCACCCCACTCCTCAGGTTGCCTGGCAACCACACGGGACCTGGGTGCCTGCACGTGTCCATCCCTGATGGGCTCTTCCTTGGCCTGGGGCTGGTCAGGTTGGTGGAGAATGTGCTGGTGGTGGTCGCCATCGTTAAGAACTGTAACCTGCACTCCCCCATGTACTGCTTCATCTGCTGCCTGGCCCTGTCCGACCTGCTGGTGAGCTCCAGCATCGTGCTAGAGACAGCTATCATCCTGCTACTGGAGGCAGGTACCCTGGTGACCTGGGCCACTGTAGTGCCACAGCTGGACAACTTAATTGATGTGCTCATCTGCAGCTCTATGATGTCCAGCCTCTGCTTTCTTGGCGCCATTGCTGTGGACCGCTACATCTCCATCTTCTACACACTGCGTTATCACAGCATTGTGACACTGTCTCGGTCCCAGCGGGCCATCGCAGCCATCTGGGTGGCCAGTGTCCTCTCCAGCACCCTCTTTATTACCTACTACAAGCACACTGCTGTGCTGCTGTGCCTGGTCATCTTCTTCCTCGCCATGCTGGCTCTCATGGCGATTCTGTACGTGCACATGCTCACCCGAGCCTGGCAGCATGCCTGGGGCATCGCCCAGCTCCACAAGAGGCAGCACCCAGTCCTTCAGGGCTTCTGCCTCAAGGGGGCTGCCACCCTGACCATCCTCCTGGGGATTTTCTTCCTGTGCTGGGGCCCCTTCTTCCTGCATCTCACTCTTGTCATCCTCTGCCCCCAACACCCTGCCTGCAGCTGCGTCTTCCAGAACTTCAATCTCTTTCTGGTGCTCATCATGTGCAACTCCATCGTGGACCCCCTCATCTATGCCTTCCGCAGCCCAGAGCTCTGCAGGACACTCAAGGAGGTGCTGGTGTGCTGCTCCCCCTGAGCGGAGGGCAATCTCCATCTCAGGCCAGGGTGCTGAACAGAGGGAGATGGTAATATTTGGTCACGGTGTCCTGTCCTTCCTGGTGGATAGGACAATCTCAAAAGGTCTGGGACTACAGAGAGGGTGAGTGTGGCCCGGCAGGCAAGAGCTTTACAGTAGCAATCGTAGGGAAGGGAGGAAGCGGGGCTGGTTGGGGCTTGGGTGCCAGACACCTGGGCAGAGCCTAGGCTCCTGGGGAGACCTTCCTCCTGGAGAGCTCCTGCTCCACCCTAGGAGGAGGCAACACTCACCACCCCCTCAGGATTTTGGCTTCTTTCTGTGTGTGTGAGAGAGCTAGGGATTGAAACCAGTGCTTTTGCACTGATCTATGTCTTCAGCCCTTTATTTTTTACTTTTTTGAGAGAGGGTCTTGCTAAGTCACTAAATTTCCCAGGCTGGGCTCAAACTTTTTTTATCCTCCTCCCTCAGCCTTCCAGAGAGCTAGGATTACAGGTATGCCCCACCAAACCCAGCTCCCCGCCCAGAGTTTGCCGCCAACTCTTGGGGCTGTGACAAGCCCTCCGGACAAGAAGTCTGAGTTGGAAGAGCTGTAAGAGTCGAGGGGAAGGAGGACTGCTCCTTCGAGGGACCTGACCAGGAAGATCCAGCCACAGCCCGGCAGCGGATGCCACTTCTGCAGAGGGACAGGATTCACAGGATACCTGCTTTGCACAGAGGAGCTGCTCTGACCCTTCCAGAGGGCAGACAGCTAGAGATCCTGTCCTGTGCTGCATCAGCAGAAGCTGTAGAGGCTGGCTGCCACAGAGACTGCAGGCCCATCTGGGACAGGGGCCTGGGGCACCGGGGCCAGGAAGGTTGGTAATAAATGTGCTCCTGGCAGTCACCTCACCATCCTCCCGGCTCCTTCCAGAAGTTGACTGAGGTATGGGTGAGAGGAAGACAGGATGGAAATCAGGATGGGAGAAAAGGTCCTGCAAGCCGTGGCCCACGTGCCCAGGTGAGGAAGTCACAGTACCAAAGGACCCCGGGCTCTGGGCAGAGTATAGAGACCCCCACTCAGGCACCAGGGTTGAACTGTACCGTCTGGTGCTGGGGACAGGCATCCGGCCCTTCCTGTGCCCAACCCCAGCCTCTCTCTGCAGAGCCCACCTCAGTTTCCTCCACAGATGCTGAGCACTCAGCCAACCTCTGCCCTGGGGCAGGCTCAGCAGAGGCTAAGATGGTGCTGTCTCTAGTAGGAAGCTTTTTTGCCAGCCCCCACCCAAGCTGTGCTGTCAGCCACAGCCCCGACTGTCGGCCTCAGGGCTGGGAGCTGCTTCCCGGAAAGGCTAGGGAGACAGAGCAGTGAGTCAGCCTTCAGCCTGGCACCGGAGCTCTGGGGACGAGGAGCGGGCTTGGCCCAATGCCACTAAGGCAGGGAGGCGGCCCAGGCCTACGGATGCTTCCAAGCCTCTACCCTTGCTCAGACAAGGAGGCACAGCCAAATGCGCACTCCCGACTCCTTGAACAGGGACAGCTGGAAGCCCAGCAAGGAAAGCCACCTCGCCACTCGGGGCGGGGGCGGGGCGGGGCGGGGCGGGGCGCCGCTACAGACAAAAGGCTCCGTTCTAGAGGCAAATGCCAGCCTCTCCCCAGACCACGGCTCAGCCTGCGTAGACCCCAGTCCTGCCCAGACCCGACTTGGGCCTGCTCTCCCTGCCCCGCTGTGAGCCAGGCCGCGCATCCGTCTACCGAAGGAGAGCTGCGGCGGAAGTCCGAGGCCTTAGTCAAGGGGCGCACTCAGCCGGCTGTGTGCCCCACGTCGGCCCCGCCCCGTCCCGCCCCTCCCCCTCCGCAGTCCCCGTTCAAGGGGCGCCCTCGCTCGCACCCGAGTCCACGGAGCAGGTGACATCAGGGATGAGTCAGGCAGCCACCTCCTCCCCCACCCGTCAGGCCGCTGCCTGGCTCTGGTTCGAGGACAACCGCGAAGCTGCGTTCTCAGAGGCCGGCTGGCACCCTCGCCCCCCAGGCCTCCCATCCTCTGGCAGCCCCCGGGGGCAGGGCGGGTAGCGCCCTCCGAGCAGGGGAAGGTGGCCCTGCCTGAGCTCTGCTTTCCTGTGGATCCAGGCTCAGCTCCAGGTTTCCCTGTCCCCCCTCCACCGCACGGGGTCCAGCGGGCGTGGAGAGAGACCGACAAGTGCCATTGTCCTTCGCGGAGCCCGCACCCGAGGGCCCCCGCCCTCCCGGGCGGGATGAGTGGTGGGGGAAGGCGCGGCCGCGCCGGGCGCGGCGGCCGTGGCTGGGGGGTGGGGATCGGGACTCGATTGGCGGCGCGTGAGCGCTGGGGCGGAGCCTCGGCTCTGCGGCCAGGACCCGATTGGTCGTGCGCGGGTGGGGGAGAGGCCGCCACTATAAGTGCGCGCGCCCAGGTCCTCTGATCCTCCGCAGCGTGCGAGCCCGCAGCCAGCATGAGGGAGATTGTGCACATCCAGGCCGGCCAGTGTGGCAACCAGATCGGGGCCAAGGTGAGGCCGCCCACCCTGCGCCCCGGGACCGAGGAGGGAGCGGGGAAGGGCCGAGGAGGGGGGGGGCGCCGTGCTACGCGGGCCGCGCCCCGCGCGGGACCGGAACAAAGGACCCGAGCCCCGCCCCGCGCCCCGCGCGCCCTCCTCCCCCGCCCAGGTGACGCGGCTGCCCGGTGTAGCGAGGACCTCGGCTAGGTCGGCGCCCGGGCGTGGCCCTGATCCGGCCGCAGTTCAGCTGGGCGGGAGGGGGCAGATGGGTGGGGCCCGGTGCAGCGCTGACCCCTCTGCAGGGACGCCTGCCTCTCCCGCCCGCCTGCCTTCCCTTTGTGGGACGGTCGGGCTGCCCGATGACCTTGGTCCAGGCCGGACTCCCCGCACCCCCCTGCTGGCCAAGCCCACCCGGCCCCGCGAGCCTGGACCTGAGAATAAAGCCTCGGCTGGGCTGGGCTGCACTGCCGGCCTTCGCTCCACGCTCAGCCCGCCCCACGGACGCAGGCCACGCAGGAGAGGCTTGGTGCAGTGACTGCGAGGTTCGGGAGGTGACTTCACCCCGCCCAGATTCCCGCAGCTGTCCTGTCCCCATCCCTGGAGGCTGTCCCTTGCTCAAGGTCACACAGCAAGTGAAGACAGGGCCAGGGCTCCCACGGCTGTCCCCCCCAGACGACTCCCGAGCTGGGGTTGGGGCTGGGCGGAAGTGCCGGCCCGCCTGGGAACAATGTGAGGCCCGGGGCTTTGTCAGGACCGTGGCCAGGGACCCAGCTCTCAGAGAAGACGTCCTGGAGGGAAGGGCTAGGCAGACTTCTTGGAGACTGTTGCCATGGAAACCAGGCTGGAACAAAAAAGCTAATTACCGGGGGCTGGGGCGGCCACGTGGCTGACATGTAAATTGCAAGTTTGGCTCTAGGGTGGAGGTGTTTGCCCGGAGACTCCCCAATCACGGAGGAGACAGCTGCGCCTGCTTCAGGATGGGGTGGGGGAGGGGCGGTTGAGGGCCAGGAGCCTCAGATCAAATCAGGACTCCCGGGGCGGTGGCTGACAGCTGGCCTGGCCTGGGGGAGGAGCTGAGGACTCATTCGCCGGTCACTGGGGCCTGGCCTGCCCAGAGCGTCTGCTCCTGGCCTGGGGACCCTGTCTCTGTGCCTGGCCCGGCCCAGCACTGTGATCCCACCTAGGCTCACGTCAGGCTAGCGCTCAGGGCTGGAAATCGGGGCCACCCCAGACCCCACTCCAACCGCCGTGGGCTAGCTGGGCAGAGCAGCATCCGAAAACTGGACAGTGCTCTTGCCTGACTTGTTTTTCTCGTCACTTGGGCCCTTATTCCTTTTGAACTATTCTTAATTTATGTTTGCTCAGAATGTTAATAGCTGGGTGTGATTGTGCACACCTGTAATCCCAGCACTCTGGAAGGCTGAGGCAGGAGGATCGTAAGTTTGAGCCCAGCCTGGGGAACTGAGACTCTCTCAAAAAATAAAGGACTGGGGATGTAGCTCAATGGAAAGCCCTGGTTCAATCCCCAGTGAACAAAAAACCCTGATCTTTTGTAACAATGACAACAGCAGACAGGTGAATTTTCTTGGAGAGGATCCATGCCTTCCTTTGCCACTGCTGGCCTTTGCACAGTTACTGGCTGCCTCTCCTGCCCTGGACAGTCCCCAGAGGCCAGCTGGACGCCCCAGGCCTGTCTCTGCACCTGTCCCAGGCAGTAAAGCTTTCCCGGCCACTCTGATAACTGAGTGTGGGGTGCGAATATGTGTGCTCCACTGTGAGTGGAGGGCCGTGTTTCCCCCATCACCAGGAGCTGCTGCCGCCCTTGGGCTGGGGAGGGCCGCTTCTGCCTGCGGCTCTTTGGGTGCTGCCTGGGGTTAGGGTGGGGCCCGGCGTCCAGCATTAGGGACGCCTGGCCTTCACCCCTGCGTGTTGGGGGGGGGCACTGTGGTGGAAGAAGTGGGTGTTACCCGCCCCCAGAGTGAGACCCCTGAAGCTATGGGAGTTGGCCCCTTGCCCAGGATTGCAGGCTGGGGCAGTTAGGGTGGGTAGGAGGCAGATGACACTGGGCCCCTACCCCGTGGTTCCCTTGGCTGGGGCCTGGGCCCCACCCCATTCTCCCGAGCCGCCCTGCAGGGGTCTTGCAGGCGTCTTTGTCTGCGCCTGCCAGCCTCGGAGGAGTGGGCCCTCCCCCATTGCTGGGCGGGGCCTCTGCCACGCCCCTCCCTGCTCCCCGACGGGCCTCCCGGAGGACACTGGGGCCTGGGAAGCTTGAGTCAGCTGCCCTCCTTCACTCCCGTTGTCTTCCGGGTCCTAGTTCGGGCAAAACAGAGTCAGCACCTCGGACAGCGCTGCCCGGGCCTGCAACAGACCCTAGGGTCGGTAAGAGAGACTAGGCCCGGGGCCTGGGATCCACTCGTCCATTATTTATAACTGTTATATCGTGAGTTTTACTGATACCATTTTAAATTACATTTTCATTAATTTTATGCAAAAGCAATTGTTAATATATTTTCTCTGTAAAAAATTGAAACAACCCAGGAGGGGTGGCTCATGCCTGTAGTCCCAGCACTTGGGCGGCTGAGGCAGGAGGATCATTGACTTCGAGGCCAGCCTGAATTACATAGCGAAACCATCTCATAAAAACAAAACAGGGGCAAGAAATTTAGTTCAGTGGTGCCGTGCCTGCCTTGCAAGTGCATGGTTGTGAGTTCGATCCTTGGTACCACACACAAAAAAGGGAAAACTTAAGGATGACCAAATACACAAAAAAGGGAATGAAGTCCAGCCCCACCCTTGCTGAGTGACCTCTGTAAACAGTCCCTTAGGATAAACCACCAGACCCCTATATGTTTTATAGTAATTGGTTCAAGCACTTTAGGTTTTTGTTGTTTTTTTTTAACTTTAGGGTTTTTTGGGGGGTTTTTTGGTACCAGGGATCAAACTGTGGACCTTGTGCTTTCGAGGTAGGTGGCAGAACCACTGAGCTAAATTCCCAGCCCTACTTTAGGTTTTTTATTTATGTATTTATTTTCATACTGGGGATCGAACTTGGGTCCTTGCACTTGTGCAGCAGGTGACGAAACCACTGAGCTAAATCCCCGGCCCATACTTTAGGTTTTTTAAACATTAACTTTAAGCTAATAGTTTTTAAAAGCTAATATGTACATGACAGAATTCCAGCAGCAGTGAGGGTAGCAAGGAGAAAAGTCCCTTGGGTCTGGGACCGTGTCCCAGGCACAGCTTCCCTGTCAGACATCGAAGTATGTGAATGCCAGCAAGCTGTTTCCTACCCTGATTTTTGGGGGCAGGGGGCGGAGTACCAGGGATAGAACTTGGGTCTTTGCCCTTTCAGGGGAGGCAGCGGAACTGCTGAGCTAAATTCCCAGCCCCCTAGCCTGATTTGTTTGGAGAGCAATCTTTCCACCAGCACCTGACTGCTAAGTAGAGGCCCTTTTAAAAAAAATTTTATCAAAGCCTCATACCATTAATGCATCCCAAGTTACTTCAGCTCTGAAGAGTGTCCCGGGCATAAGGAGGTGTTTGTGGCCTGGAGGTCATGCAACATGTGACTATGGTAGCCTAGCAGGCCCTGGTCCCAAGGAAATGTCCCTGGGTTGAGAGCAGAGGCTCTGCCCTCTGACACCAGGGCTCAGCGACTCCTTGTGACCTGCCCATAGCCATGCTGCTGGGACGAGGTGGGGCTGGGCCTCACTGCTATGCCACAGGTGGTGAGAAAATGAGCCTTTGAGTTGCCAGATTCCATGTGGATGTGCAGGGCGATCTCTGCAGACCCAGCATCAGATACCTGGTGTGACTGGCTCTCAGGGTCCCTGTGAACCCACTGGCTGGGGCCAGCGATGTTCCAGATGTTACTGGACCCCCCATCCCTGGACAGTACTGACACTGAGGGCCCCTGGGTGCACTGGGCAGCCTGGACATGCAGACAACACAAGGCTCTTTCTGGAGCCCCTCGATGAGGCCAGCGGAGCCCAGGCGTGAATTTTATGCCAAGGGCTGTGAAGCTGCAGGGAGGAAAGGTTTTTGTGGCCACCCACC